ACTGTTAGAGGTAATATAAACTTAAAGATCACTACATTTCACAAAATGGCCACGCACTTTAAGATATCCATTGGTTCGGCGTTCTTGTCGCGTGGTTCCAAAACTTGATGCAGTAGCACTGCAAGTCCTGTACACAATGACACGCAGAGTAGGGATCGCAATTCCTTCGGGCCCATCGCCATTATCTCGTCAGCGTCACGTCGGCGCTATTAAGAGGAACACGCTTCAGACATCGTGGCGAGGTGCACGAAACGACGATGTCCATCTTCCAAGTGTCGTTGGGACACCTGTAATCAAAGTTTTACACCTCGATTCTCGAATATCGTAGATATTCTATATAAACATCACCTTGTGTTACCATACAGTGTTAAACTCTTAATTTATAAAGCATTGTTCAATTCTCGTATATACTATTGTCACCTAGAGTGGGTAAACCCGACGAGTACAAACCTTAATCAACTTTTTTTATTGCGGATGAAAGCAATCCGAGTCGTAGCCAATACGTCGTATTACGCACACACTGATTCCTCTTATTATAAGCATAAAGTAATAAAAATACCAGAATATTACAAATATAAGCTTGCGACACTATACACGGCACCCCTGAAATGTTTTAACCACCCATTACCGCGGTTTTCGAGATTATGTGTTAAAACTAATGTGTGGTTTCATCTCAAATCGGGCAGAATAAAAGGGTCTAATTTTTAATTTTGACGAAAAAAATATATGTTTTGGGGGAATTTCTCAAATGAAGGAGGGCCCTAACCGCATGTTGCCCTGATTTTTGTTCTCGAGTTACGAAGCGTAGGAGCCGCAGTGGCAGAAAGTAGTGTTTTTGCCCGCCGTCACAGGTCGCGTGTTTGACGCCCTCTGCTGCCGCTACTGTTTGTCCGCCACCATCTTAACCTTTTCTTCTTATTTCATGGGTACTTTAAAAATATCTTGATGGATTCAAATATTTTTAGGAATTTTGTTTCTAAAGCAAATGTTAAATTGGTCATTTAGCCCAATGTTTTGTCAACTTTGACAGGTCCTCACTTTGTATGTACCTAAGGAAAATTTTCTTTCTTTAGCTCTATGGAAACTCCAAAGCAAACCCACTACAGATATAATAATACCGTTATAATCTGTTGACTGGCCTCTCCGCCACCTTCACGTAAACGTTGTGAGAAATAACAAATCTTGAAAGTTTGAAATCGATTTTCTAAAATGTTTGTATTTTTTTATTTTTTAAGTTATTTTAGATATAACATTCGACTACAAGAAAAAAACAATCTAGAACTGTGATATTTTCGTGGTATGTCCTCTATTTGAGCCGCAATCGCATGAAATATGTGCTCATTTGACTAATATACAGCAACCTTACAGGCATTGTGCGCCTCTACAATTTCGAATATATATATATATATATATATATATATATATTACGTTTTTGAAAAAGACCCTTTCGCAAGACTGCTTCTTGCTAGAATGCGAAATCTTTTTGAAGAGGAATGACGCACCGCTCGCTAAGCTAGGGCTCGAACACGAAAACACACCGGAGCTTGCCTTGTGGGAAAAAATAATTTGGATGTTATGTTTTTTTTAACGAGTTTCAGAAGTGGACAAAAATACATTCCCTGCTTCTTCATCAGACGTGCCCATCGAAGAGCCGTATGGCTAGAGAAAGCGCATGTGAAGTCACGTGCTGTTATCTTTCACTTCGATTTTGCTGAAAGCTGGAGTGTCTTGATGCAGCGCGCGGTGAAAGGACATCACTGCAAGAGCAAGATGGCTTCCATCTTTACCTGCGTGTCTACGACCGAACAAGGAACGTCAATCTTAGGCGTAGTGAGCGACGACATCGTACATGACTTGTTCCATGCGCTCTTTGCGCTCCACGTTGTCGATGGGCGGCCGGGGAGAGTACTGCCTGTTTTCACGCAACTCGTTTATAGTTCATATGGTGCTCCAAGCCCCTTCAAAAACAGGCACAAGGTGTACGAATTCAAGAAAAAGAATGTCGTCGCCAAGTGGATATTCTCCGCACCAGGGCACGGAAAATGCTCGCGTGATGGAGTGGAAGGCGTGCTCAAACACCAGGCATCCACTTATAGCTTGACAACTACAGAGTTGTATTCATAACAAACGCGCAAAGCTTCATTGAGGCTCTAACCCCCCATTCACACTGGAAGCGGATCCGCGTTCGCGAAGCGGTTGCGAAAGCGGTTGTATAAAGATCCAGTGCAATTGCACGCGCATTTGATGTCATCGTGTGCGCGTGCAATTGTACTGAATCCTTATACAACCGCGTTCGCAACAGCTTTGCGAACGCGGATCCGCTTCCAGTGTGAATGAGCCCTAAGACCGAAAGTCTGAAGGGTCGTTCAGCTCTCAATTGCCAAAGGGAAGCTCACGCGTTTCCGAGAGCTCAAGAGAAAAGAATGGGAGAAGGTAAACCCACCAAGGGGCAACCGATCCTCACACGTGTGGAGGAAGACACTGGAGGAAGGCGCCTTGAAAGTTGCCCTAGAAAATATTTGCGAAAGCCCTGGACAGCTGCATACACGAGTCAGCGCATGCACGTACCGCTTTGTGTCCCAAAATTTAGAAGATCATCAGTGAGTGCATGCCGACATGTTCAGTACTGCAACCGTGTACTGCGTGGCTCCTTCACGGTGCGAAAACTGATTCAGAGTTACGTCGAATTAGTAAAAAAGTGTACTGCCTTCAGAAAATGTGCCATTGACGTTTTTTCTGTTTTTTACTGGTTGTGTGCGCGCGTTTTACATTACAGGGGTAAAAGAACTGTGCAGTCAACCGTTGGCGGTCTGCAAAATGTGAGAACAGGGAGGCACTCACTTGATCGAATGACGTTTTAGCGAACGCTCACGTTTCACCGAATGACACTTTAGCGAACAGTCGGACGCGACGAAGCTGCGTTTTAGGGTGTGCCGAATTAGAGTTCCTGTATATAGCTACCTACAATATGCTCCCCCTTCGGGGGAGCATATCGAGGAACTTCAGGCCAGATGGGTTCACATTTTTTTAAATGAGCCGCCGCAGACTGTCGCTGCGAAGCGGCTTAAGAGCAGCGCGGCGGATGGGTTAACGCGCGCCCCGCTATTCGCCCGTGAGAACAAAACCCGGTGTATATTTCTAGAAGATTTATGCGCAAGATTTTAGTGGTGTGAGAATCTATCTTTAATCGTATTAGGCTGGATAATTAGTACCCACCCTCGTTTACTTTGAACCATTCTACATACAAACAATTTTTGACATGCTGCTTGACCTGTTGATTTGTATATTCTTGTTAGTCATTGTTTTGTGGTGTGCTTATGTGGCTTCTCTCCTTTTTTAAGTGTACAATAAATATCACAAGTCTGCCTGCTTTACGTTCCTTTTAAAGAGCGTAAATAAAAGTGAAAACATATTTTTGAAATCGTAGAGGCACACTATGCCGGTAAGGCTGCTGTTTTTTTTAGTCAAATGAGCACATATTTCCCACAATTGCGGCTCCAATAGAGGACATACAACCAAAATCTTACATATCTAGACTGAATTTTGTTGTAGTAGACTATTTATCCAAAAGAATTTTAAATAAATAAATAAAATTGTACAAAAATTGGTTTTTTGAGAAAATCGACTTCAAACGTTCAACAATTATTATTTCTCACAACGTTAACGTGAAGTTTTTGGAGCGGCTAGTCAACAAATTATAATGGTATTTTTATATCTATAGTCGGCTTGCTTTGGGCTTTCTGTAGAGCCAAAAAAAGAAAATTTACCTTAAGTGCAGACAAAGTAAAGACCTGTCAAATTTGACCAAAAATCGGCATGAACGACAAATTTGACAGTTTTTATTTTTTTATTTTAGAAACAAAAAATGCCTAAAAGTATTTAAATACATAAAGGTATCTTTATAGCACCTATTGAATGAGGAGAAAAAGTTTAGATGGTGGAGGAAAAACAGTAGCGGCAGCAGAGGGCGTGAAACAAGCAAACTGCAATGGCAGGCCAAAATACTAGTTTCTGCCACTGCGGCTTCTACGCTTCGTAACTCGAGCGGTTTGTGCCCTCCTTCATTTCAGAAATGCCCCCAAAACATATAATGCTCGCGTCAAAATGAAAAATTAGACCCTTTTAACCTGACCTATTTTGAGATGAAACCACCCAATGTATATAAAGTACGTAGCGCCGGGTCCCTGCGAGTACTTACTCCTAGAACAAACTATGGGCTTCAAATGGTACAGTATACACTGCTAACCGTACTAAACTTTTTAAAAGACCAACATGTTTGCATTGATCCACTTAATAGGAAAACACTGCGCAATATGTTCACCTCTAACTTTTAATATTTTTTCTTACACGGCACTGCCTGTTTCTTTCCGTCTTTAAAATGTTGTGTTGACTTTTCCTGCCTGCCGATCTGCCGTTAGGGAGCAGGAGCTTTGTCAAGCAGCACCTTTTGGAGCTTTTTGTCCCGTTTCCGTCACCAATATGTATAATTGGAGTAAATAAATGAATTTAATTGAATTGATTTGCGGGAAGAATGCATATAAAAAATTTTTGCGTGCACTTCTGAAATAAAGCGACAAAAGCGCGAAACCTGATCGATGAGCACCTCAAAGGTCAGTGCATTAGTTTTATTTATATTGCTGTAGCTTCTGAAATAGCAATTAAGTGCAGCGTTTTAAATGAACAATTAAAAAGGAAATGAGGGTATGTCAGTAATTTGTTTAGCTGTCACGATGGTCCCCAGTTATCACCCATTTAACGGCAATTTCGTGAACCAAGAAGTCTGTTAAAGTATTAAACAATTGAACATTCGTGAAAATATTGTCACAGTCGTGAAAGTTGAAACATCTCGAAATTCACATATACAATTTTTTTTTTGTTTTTGTGCGGGTTCGCAGAAGAATTGTTTAGTGAACAAAAAGGCGAGATGTGCATTTTGTTACACCAAAAGTGTGACAACTGGGAATTAAAAGTAAATAGGCGAAACTTTGTTTTCTTCAGGAATGTTCACTCTGAACGGCGAAGTGTGGAACGAAAACAGAAATTTTACTGTCCGCGTGCTTCGAAACCTGGGTTATGGAAAGACAGCAATGGAGGAGCATATCAAGGTGTGTATATTCACTAACTTACTGTTTCTTTATTTATAGCATACTGCGGGTTCTTTGATTAAGTATATGTTGAGATTCTATTTTGTTTAAATAATTTGGCTTATGGAAATGGGGAACCATCTTAACAAATGCATTAATATAATTAACGATTTATAAATAAAAATGAATACTCACATCGCATTGTTTGTATTTTAAGCATTATGTATCAATGGGCCACATTTTTCGCATTGAAGTTTTTAAAGTCTGATTGAAGACAACACATTATAGTCTGCTGTCCCGAGACGGAGGTTTCGAGTTGCGCTGGCCAACTTGACTAAACCCAACACTCGCACTTCCTATTTAGAGTAAATTAATAACTGCTGGATGGAATAAAATTCAACTTACCGTTAAATTGTGACATATTAATTAAAATAAGTGCCATGGAATCATGAAAAAGAATGCAGGTGGTGACTTTTTTTGGAATCGCGTACGCGTGTGCAGTTTTTTTAATTTTTTTGTCGTCGACTGCTTGTTTACGGCAGCTCTGAAACAGCGCTCGCGTTATAAAATCAACGCAGTTGCACTTATCTACGGGTCCTACAAAACGTTTGGAGGTTGAGGGAGCTTCCTACTTGTCAGACTTCAGAAGAAGATATAACATTGGCGAACACAAAGTGGCAAACGTGTGATGCCTAAGGATGTCGCGAACCTACCGAGGTTTGAGTTCGACCAAGTTTGACTTTCTCGAACCCTTAAGGCGAAGTTCGTCAACCTGACAGCACTTGGTGGAGGAAGGCGGCAATACTCGATGGATCTATCACTTTTCTGGTACGCATTACTAACTAACGAAAGCATTAAACGTGCCTATTTTTGATTTTATATCGTGTAAGTATTCATAATAATTTTATAAAATATATAACCCACTATGTAGACTGACGAGCGTCTTGTTTGAGTTGAGGAACGGCGAAAGAATAAGACACAAGTTCAACGATGGACGACGGACACTTCCTTTCATGAAAGAAAAAGATGTACGTCGTACATCGTCCCACCTGTGTCTTATTCTTCGGTGTTTCTCAAAATAAGCTACTTTGTCAATTTTCTACTTCCCAACATTTGAAATCTTCCTGTAGAAGCCGGGAAACACTGTTCGTAAGTCCAACTTTGTCGAACTTTGAAAAAGGTCAAAGGTTCGCCAGACCAATCGAACGTCGAGGTTAGAGGTCGAAACGCGGGTTCGACAAAATTCGCGACATCCCTGGTTGTACCCCAAAACACGGCGCTTCGCAAGGTGAGGAAATCCGCTTGAACATTAGACAAACACAAAGAGAGGGAACGAACATACAAACCACTGACTATGAACTGTGGTTTTAATACTTCTTTGTCTTCATCTATGCCCGTTAAATATATTTATATATATATTTTTTTATTTCATTGTATGCATATATCTATGTCCACCTTCTTGATATCTCTTTATGGGGATATGTCAACCCGCAAATACTATTTCTCTCCTTGTCGACTGTGATAAAAGTCTTGCTGATACATCCTTCTTCGGCTTCTTCAATGGCCATAGCTTCTAACGTCTTGCACGATAAGGCATGGTTGTGTCTTTCAAGGATGGTTAACCTGCGAAAATCTGCGCCGCATTTACAGGTGCGGCAATGGGCTAGCAAATATCCTGCTCCTGTTCCCTTCAGCAATGCTGCCTGCTCTCGTGCTTTGTCATTTATGCAGTGGCAAGTTTGCCTACTGTAGCATTTTCCGCAAGACAGTGGTGCATACTTTTGGACAACTGTTTTGCACGCGGCGTAGTGTGTCTTGTGGGCACTGTTGCATATTATCTTGTTGTTTTACTTTTGATTGACTTTGTGGCATGTAGAATACGCTTTGTTGGGAGGCGATCATACGACCTGTACCTCTTGTCTCCCGGCAATCTTTTTTAGTCTGAGGGTGACTCCATGAATATACGGTACCCCCGCGATGTTCTTTTGAGTTATCCGCTCATATCGCTCAGTGTGAGTTATTTTCCGATATAGTTTCCTGATTATGTTTTGAGAAACGGATCCTAATAGATAACCCAGATATTCGCAATCGCGTTGCTGGGATATTGTCATGAAATCCGGCTATGCTACATTATTCATGTCACAATATCCGGCTGTGTTACGTTATCCATTCTCCCGGGCTGGACGCGTCCTTCCGAGAAATTCGCGGGGTGTGAGTGCTGGGACCCAGCTTCCACGAAAACGAAGCGATGCTGCCTTTGGGGGAGGATGAAGGGACGAGCGGACCAGCGTCCTGGGGTCTGGTTTCTTTTTGTTTTCTTCTCCACGCCTGCGTGCTGGTATGCGGGGGCACGTTGAGGGGGACTCATTGGGGCAAAGGCGAGCAGTGTGAGCGGGATGATGATGATGCAAACTTTTATTTGAATATGGAAATATCCGAAGATGGGTGGGGCCCCTACTCGGAAGCAACAGACCGGGAATCAAAGCGTCGAGTCCGTAGAGCTCAACGCTAGCGGGCCAGGTCCGGGCTGGGGAAGACTTCGTCGACGAAAGGTGTGTGTCTGATTGTGTGGCCACTTCAAGCCGCCCAACCCACCGTGGTACCACCGGGACCATTCCTTCCCCCTTTGGACAGCGCCTCGCAAGACCGTCACTCCCAAACATTGTGAAACGAGATTTCCCCTCCACTCGCATTTTTTTTTTGTTATTAAGGTAGCGGTATTTCCGTAGTTGGTTTTTATTCTCACGGGTGTCCGATTTATTATCTGATAACAGTTAGGTTCCGAATTTGTTATTTTTTCCATGTTCAAGGAAGTTCCCGCGTAAGAGATGGTTAACGCATTGTACTATGCTGTAGACTGGTTTTTGACTAATTCGCAGCGTGCTGAGTGTTTTTATCTTCGCCGCCCGTGCCCCGACTGGGTAAAGTGCGTTCGAATCTTGTTGTTCTCGGTGTTCAGCACCTGTTAACCTTTTTTGTGTTTTTCTTTTTTTTTTGTTTTGTTTGTAGCGTTAAAATTCGTTTTGTTGCAAAGCTGTGGGTCTCCCCCTGATTGGCAAGACTCCACCGAGGCGTGGACCTATCGCCTGGTCGGCAGTCCTTTGTGTTTAAGCAGAGAATATCAGCAAACCTCTGACAGATATTTGTTTTTCAAAACTTGTCTTTGCTTGATGCTGACACGTTTTGTTTAGTGCGGACACCAGGGCGGTGTTGGTAACACTTCTTCTAATGGCTTCCGAGTGTTCAAACTTAACTCGAGGAAAACCTTTGCTTGAACGGCGTTCCAACCTTCAGCACGCATGACCGTCTGTGAACTCGAGTGTGAGGTCAAGAACATTTATGAACTTTTTTAGTGGGTAGTTTATGATTGAAACCCACCCACATGAACTCTGGATGCAATGGTTATAACTAGAACTAGGTACCTTGTCAATGGCATCAAGACGTAGTGATGCAGCATACTTGGGTCCTTGCTCAAGGGTTGTTTTGGTCCTTTCTGAGATGTACACGTCTACGATGAACTGGAACTCTTGTCGGTATCCTTGTCCCACTTTGCCGGATGTTGCTTCAGAGCAGGGTGATAACAGTTGGTCCACACCTGTTTTTTCGAGCAAGTGGTGTTTGTACAGTGTTCAAGCTGACCTCTCCGTATTGACATGTACCAACTAAACTTCAGCCCGCTTCGCAAGGCCTTTTTCCTTCAAACACTGGCGCGTGCATGTGACATCTGCGATAATGAGAAGTTGGCGGCGAAAGAAAAAAGCAATGCGCTACTCTGACTCCCCCTGTGTGGTAACTGATAGCTTAAGAAAAGCAGGCCGTGGCGAGTCACGGACATGTTATTACCGCTCCGTGACCAGCGAGGTTTGACTGTAGCTGATAAGAACACTAAAAAGCGAAGCAAGATGCGCGAACATCATAAGCCACACCCTTTGTTTCTTAAGCCGTCACGAACTATATGTATTTATTTATTGATTTACCGTGAGGATCCGTTCTCGGGTATTACATAAAAGAAGGTCCAAATACAATTCCAAAGTTTTGTCAAAAGCACTGCAAAATCAGCGAGGACAAAACACGTTCAGGCATACAATTAAGACAATAACTACGCTACATTTCTTATTACAGTTCACCAAGTCTTATCACTCTGGTTAAGGAAGACATTGAGCAGTCAATAAAATTTAGCGGTGTTCGTTTCTATAACTATATTATTTGGCGAGAAATTCTAAACCGCAATTACCAGCGGTAGTGTTGAACTTGCGAATGTCTTCGTGCTCTGCCGAGGTGCTCCCTCCAGAAGGATTGTATCACTGATCACTGCCGCCATGACAACGTTAGCAGCTGTTGTAAAGACGTGTAGGTACGCGTCGAAGCGTTCATCATTTTTTTATATACATTCCAGGAGGAATTGTCGAGCCTCGTCAAGCAGATAGAAGAAGCCAGAGGACGTGCTATTCCAGTGTTCGAGTTCGTCCTTTCAAGCGTGCTCAACGTCACCAGTGGCATCTTGTTTGGAATTAGATACCCTCCCGGCGACCTGAAGCGCGAATACCTGACGAAACACGCCGCGGGTTACGTGGAGGGAATCCACTGCGACCCGATTATCGAATGGAAACCCTGCTGGCTGAGCCGTCTCGAGGCCAGCCTGCCCTTCACGAGGACGGGGGCCATGCGCAGACATCGTAAGGCGCTGGCCGACTTCATCAGGTAGCACGTTTCTCCAGAAAGCTACGTTCCACGCGTATATTAGTTCGGCAGGTTTTAGGGACGTGTAGTAACCCTATTCTATACATCGGCACACTATTCAAACAAGTCCGCATTTGCAAACACCAGGTGTGGGCATTACGTGTGCGCTGAACCCAGATTCTTGAGAGATGAGGAATCTGCCCAAGCGCAGTGGCATGACGTCACAGAGCTGAGTTAGTGCATAGAGAAACAAGCGGTTCTGACGTCACACCACCGTGGTGGCGCTGCTGTCGGCATAGCGAATGCGAAGACGCTTAACCTTAGGTGAATCTGGTTTTCGCGCACGCGCAGTGCCAACGTGCACCTAGTGTGGGTGAACGCGGGCTGTTCGTAAACAGCGAGTTGGCTTATAGATATATGATTGAGTTACATTAAGTATCACGCTCGAAAGGCTCTGTTGTACCCCGACGTTGAGCGCAGCGAACGCAACGTAGCGTGGAACGTGCGCATTTCATTGGCCGGCGAACAGCAACTCAATATCTGCAACCAATCAGCACCTGCGTGAGCTGCGCGCTACGCCGCGTTTGCTACGCTCGACGTCTAGGTATAACAGGGCCTTAAATATCTGGATCAGTGATAGTGGTAAACGTTCTGGAACACGAGCCAAAATGTAGACACAAGGTGAACTTTTTTAGAGGGACTAGAATTTAACAAAAGGGAACCTGCGTTAGTGACTTGCTTAAGCCCCAGAACTGAGTTTTTGGCAAAGGGGGCCACCATAGAATAAGCGGAGTGGGGTAATTAATCAGCTAGCTAATACGTCAATATTTCTAATTAACTTTTTGAATCCTAGTTTTTTGTGTCATAACGTGGTAGAAGAACTGACGCTCGAACTGATAATTGCATGATCGAGACATGAAATTGCGTTAAAATTATACTAGCTTTACCATGCTGACAGAGAGAAACCGGGGGTTAATGAAATATGTTGAGCTACACCTTGGAGCCCTTCAGCATTTACAATTCAGAAACACTGAAAAGGTAGTTGTAATTTAGATATTGCACGATTAATGAAACTGCGTTTTAAATAGACAGCTCTGTCGTTGTAGAAATAAAAAAAGCGACAAAATGAAGGAAGGAGGTCTGAAGGTGAGACGTCTTTCCTTTTTCCTGTCGTCTTTCTGTCGTCATCGCATCGCCGCAGTCTCGGGTAAGTCTACAATGATGAACATACATCAACTCACTTGCTTCCTCGTGCTTTGACAGCTCCGTTTTGTTCGTTTTTTGTGTAGGGATCAAGTCAAGGAACATGAAGACACAATGGAGGCAGACGTCACCCGAGACTTCATTGACGGCTACCTCAAGCAAGTTGAGAAGCATCAGCATGATCCCAATTCTGCGTTTCGAGGTAGGTTGTCGACGACTATATTACTCACATTGAGTCTCGTTGAATCAAAGGCATTATGGCGCCAAAGCACCGCAGTAATAAAAGTATGAGGTATTAAGGCCAACGTTCAATGTAGCCTTTCATACATCTCTTTCACCTTGCATTTTGATAGAAGCGACTTTAGTTTCCTGTAACGTTTGTTTTCATTCTTTATCTACTGTCCTCGGTGAATCCCACTGGTGCTCTTCGCGCCAAGCTTTTGCAAGTAGCGTTTCGCTGGGGCAACAAAGGAGACGAGACAGCGCTGCATACTTGTTAAGAAGCGTCACCCTGTGTAGGGACCGTGTATCTCTTATGTGGGCTAAATGTATTGGCTAGATTCTAGGTGTTCTTTTTGGAAAGGATATTTCACTGGCGTCGCCAGTTGACCATTTCTGGTCCTTTTTCCGTCTGCAGCGATATTCAACTTATGCCAAAGGCCTATAAATAATCACACAATATTAGGCATGGTAATTTCTTGAACAAAACTGAAAAATGTATTCTCTGAAAAGCTGTAAAACCAATAGCATGACACAAGCGCCGAAAGTATCTTGGGACCATTTGTGAGCAAGCTCCAGAACGTTCAACTCGCATGGGGAGGGTTATAGCCAATACACTTCTCATTGTTGTGTCATTGGACGTTCTAGCAATACCACGTCACTGATCGACCGGACTATTGAACGTGTATCTGAACTGGTCAGATGTTTAAGATGGATAAATGGATATTTCCAACTCACGTTGAGCGGAGCTGGCGCCGCCACAGCCCTTTCGCGCAAATGAAAATTTCCGCTTAGTCTGAGTTTGGCTTGAGCTTAAATCCCGGCGTCGCCTCCGAGACTGGTAAAATTCTTCAGCTGTTTAGTCCAGTTGCCTATACAATTTATGAGTTGCGCGCAGCGTTACCAACGGTACATTAGAGAGATCCTGTCCCAAGCAGATGAAAAGAGGATACCAAGGAGGAACTCCCTATTTAGTCGGGTAATCCCTTGTGTATCCAAGACGTCGCTTTTGCCTCCCTTGAAGATTGACCTGCTGCTCGAAATTTTTCTCTCACCCGTGGCTTCCTTAGCACTGCGCTTTAGGGAGATAGAGTATAAAGGGGCTGAATTAGCGCATAATCTTGGTTGCAAGTATTGATTTATCCTGTCCCAGTTCTACTGTACCTTGGGGAGTTTCTCAAAATCACATCTGTTTTAATGACGATTTCTACGGATTTTATAGGCATAATCGCTACAATACATTTATAATTTCACGACGTTCCAGTTCGTATGTAGCGAGCTTTCAGAAAGAGTGCCAAGGTGTGTAGTTGTGCGAGTTGGTGAATGATGAGAATAAATAAAACAGTGCAAAGTAAAACGCAACACGCAGAAGACTCAGAGAAACAAAACACAGTGCTTGTGTTTTGTTTCTCTGAGTCATGATGATGCATGATGATGCACGAAACGGAGGAAAGTGAAGTAGAATGTAGAGTATAGACGCCTCTTCTGTTGTTCACTCTGAATCTTTACCAGACGACCCGTCTTATTAAGGGCGGTCCAACCCAAACGACAAAACGAATCCAAAAGCCAGGACCCGTTTTTTTTTTTTTTTTTTTTTTTTCCTTTTTGATAACTTTCTTAGGCCGGAAAGGCTTAAAAGTGTGCGGATGCGTGAGGACGAGACAGCCTGCGCACCGACGACGGTCAGAGGAAGGGGGGAAAGGGGGGGGGGACGCACATGAGCAAAGTGTAGGAGGTGTTGACATTAGTCGCCACGGGCGGGAGAGGGAGAGAACGCCCCCTTTGTGGTTTTTTTTAGTGACTTCGAGGGGGAGAATAAAACAACTTTGTCCTTTTGTGGGGTTCCCGAAAAGCGATAAACCCCGCCCCGCTCCCGCGCAAGGCTTGCGAGGAGGACGAGGAGGGTGGTTCGCCTTGCCCTGATTGGCTACTGCGAAATTCGGTCTCGTCCAGCTCTGGGGGAAAGTTCAACATTTTTAGCTTTTTGTGTGTCTGCCAGAACCCGGGAAACAACTGTTGACGTCACAGGGGACGTTACTTTCGGTTCTCGAACGCCCCCGCACGACTGTTTTCCGGGTTGGATTGGATCGCCTTTTACGCAAGCATAATGAGCGAAATCTGAAATAGCGCCACTGCCACATTCGGGATAACAGTGTCAGTAAGTGAGCGATCATAATCAGATAATCTGCTTATGCTCTTTCACCCTCAACATTTTCATAAGAGTTCACATACGTATATGCGTGTTGGAAGAGTTTAAATCCGATGGGTAGACTCACACGAGTACGAAAATGCTTTTATACACAAACGCGTCGCCGCAGTGCCGTCCCGTGTCCCATTTATCGCACGTAAATAGACAATCATGTAAGAAACTGCTCTGCATGATCATTCAGATACAACAATGCTGATTCTCAGCGCCTTTGTGGGTTTCTGCAGTAAGCCATCTGTTGGGAAACAGCCTGGAACTCATTTCCGGTTCCGCCACGAACACACCAGCCCTGATCCACTGGCTGCTGGTGGTGTGCGCGCAGAATCCTGACAGAGTGCAGGCCAGGATTCAGAAGGAGGTCGACGACGTCGTTGGCCGTCAGAGACAGCCTACTTGGGACGACCGCAAGGCGATGCCGTTCACGATGGCCAGCGTGCTTGAGATAACGCGGTGGAAGGCCACCACGCTTTTCCCGATGCCCCGAGGGTAAGATGTTGTTATCAATCCATCAATCAATCAATCAATCAATCAATAAATCGATCAATCAATCAATCAAACGATTCCTTTGGTATTTCCAAGGCGAAAAGAAACTGCCCTTGGAAGGTCAAAAGGTACAAAAAGCGCAACAAAGTCGGCTCACAGGGTACCTAATACCTCCTACCAAGGGCCTGCGTCGGGGGAAGTGTACAGCCGCAGACATTGCAACACAAAACAAAAAAAGAGAATCTACGCACACATCTGGAATAACCACAATACGCCGCTAGCACAACAGCAATAAACATAGCACAACAACATGCGTGAAAACATAAAAAAAACGCTATCTGCTTACAAGCGTTTTATGTGTATTTATAAAAACACAGCTTCAGTTAAAAATAGCGCAAAAGATACACAAAGCGTGATACCTTTCACAGTAAAATTTATGCAATGTTTACACTCATAAAAATCTTGCATATCTGTATATATAAATTATAGCATATAAATAGGTTTGCCAAGAAGTATTTGCTTGACTCTTTATTTGGACTTGAAGATTGGCACGCAGTGGAGACACTCAATATTTTCAAAACCCTCGGGTTTTTTCGCGAAGTAGTCACCATTCCTTTTTAGTACGGGATATTTTAAAGCACCAAATGTTTTTTACCGGAACCCCCAATCCCAAATCTTTTTCTTTCCGTCCATCCCCCGTGCGTTACCCGCTAAATTTAGCGGGAAAACTGAAGTGGTGCTTAGGTCCCGTGAGCTATACACAAAATAAATTTCCCCTATAAATTTATCGAGAAAATTGATGTCGGGTGACCTATACAACAATTCCCTTTCTCCGCTAAATTTAGCGGGAAAATTTGTCACGTGACATATAAGCCAATTTGGTTTCCTCATTCAATTTACATCGCGTTAGAACTTTTTTTTTTTGGCAAGTTTGGGGCGGAAACTCAGTCTCAGGGCCCACGCAGAAAATGTTCGGCTGCATTTAAATTTTAGCTGATTAAAACTGCTACTACGGCGATGGGTATTATGAACATCCGAGCGAACATCAGTTGTCAAAAAAAAAAATTTCTTTCGTAATATTCTTCGTATCTAGTAATTGCTCGCCGGCATTTGGGTATTGACTATACTTGGCGTGAAATATTTTGTGCTACATTGCCAAGGCCATCGTAACGTTCACAGTGCTGCAGCACCGCGCTGCTGTAATGGTGCATGGCTTAGTCTTGCGTCTCATTCGCACGAACTCGCGCAAACTATATTTTGTGTTATGTAAGATACAGACGCAGTTCATGCTACGAGCCGAAGAGATAAATCAGAGAGCGTCAAATTGCACCGTCATAGTGCTCGTCATCTTTCTGCGCCTGTTGTATCGTCGCTGAGACAATCATAGACAACAAATACCTAGTGACTTCCGCTTTTGAGATCTGATGTTGCTTGGTTGGTTTCATTACCTGGTAGCGTGGGCTGCGCCTGGACTTAAGCTAAAACAAACCATAGTTTCCTCTATACTGACAAAGCCTGGCAGATCGCCACGAGAAGTGGCCGCCGGAACGGAAAACGTGGAGCGGCAGACAGCGGATGAGAGGAGAGCCACGTGACTGGCGCCGCGCTGCGGCAAGACGTCGAAACACACTTCTCCCGAGCGAACAAGTGTGTTTTGGGTCCCCGCATCTGCATAGGCCAGGTTCCCCGAGAAATGGCTCTTTGATGCTCTGTGCTACCAGATCATCGCGCTCCACATCTGCGACCGGGCACTCTATGGCTCCGTCGTCGAACAGCAGGGCTTTGTGAGTATAAAGGAGGCTATGAACAAAGTATAGCTTTGACAGATTTGGAGTACTGTGGAAGCTACGCTAACCTTAGTAACGTAGCACTAAATAGTTCACGCCGTGCATAGCTTGGAAAGAGTTGGGGCACTACGGATGCTAGGCTAGCATTAACAATGTAGCACGAAGGAGTTGACACTGAGTATAGTTGAGACGTCAGGCGCAGGAAAAGTATAGGTAACTGTCAGTCAATTCAGTCAATGTTTTGATTGAAATCGAGTTACGTGAGGAGCATTACCCTACTGAAAAAAAACATTTGGCGCCCATATGAAAATAAACGGGTCCATACCGGTAACCGTTTAACCATACTGGTCACCAGTTTGTCAAAGGGGTCGCCCGTATGGCTCACAGGGGTCCCCCGTATGAGCCATAACGGTCACCTATTTGGCAAACGGGTCGCTCGTCTGGGCAAATGGGCGACTCGTTTGGGAAAAGTTGTCGCACGTTTGCTCAAACCGGCGACCCTGTTGCAAACTGCACCGGTTTAATCAAACGGCTCTCCGGAGCCCGTTTGATATTGAACGTACAGATCGGCGGCGTGGGCACGCCTAGCGTTTCAGCCGTGGCAGCCAATGTTTTCCGGAAGGCTGGGAGCGCCGGTTCATCGATTTCAGATCGTCCGCGTAATGCAAGTAATTATATTTATATTTCAATTGCGCTGATTTTCGATTATACTGCAACTAAAACTAACACCTTTTTTTTTTTTGTTTTACGTAAACGCGCGACATTGGTGAGCCGATATTTTTGACAGACCTTTAATACTTTGTCCATCTTTGTTGCCTCAATTTACTTATTCAGCTCGAATCTCTCTCGCAGAAGACGCGACCGCGTGAAAGAATGTACGTCTAGACTCCGTTTCACTTTAATTCAAGACGCAGCGAAGGTAGCACGCGTACACGCGGCTGCAAGAACATCGAGCATTGCGAGAGCACGCCCGCCGTTGCAGCAGTCAAACTACGAGCTTGCGCTGAGTTCTTTCTTCGCTCGGGCGCAAGCCGAGCTTCTGGCAGCCCCGCCGCCATTTCGAAAGTTCGAGCGCGCGCGCGCGCGCGCGTTTGTTCTTCGGGACTACAAAAACGCATCTCCCTGGAATGCCTGGGGAGAGGGAGAGGGGCTGTCCCGGTGGTCCCAGCGCCTTGACCTCGCCCCCTCCCTCCTCTCTTGTCACCCTGTCACGTGACCCATAGCAGCGCGCGAGCTACACGCAGATAAGCATCGAGATCCGGAAGGGCGCGCCTTGCAGCCGCTTTTTCTTTGTCTGCTTGTTGTCAGTTGCTGCTCGAAGTTCGCTCGTCCTACCTGCTTCAATCTGTCGCCTAACCCTGCGGTCTTATTGGGATGTCTCGACAACGTATTGGATGTGCACCAAAGCTATCAGTGTTCGAAAAGACCCACGTGTATGTCGGCATCAAGCGATTCTTCAAAGAAGTCGCAAATTCTCGCGGTTTGGTTGGGTTCGGCAAATGACAGCTTGTGCGCCGCATCGTGTTGAAACTTCCAAGGAGCCGTTCTCTCTCGTTTGTGTTTGTGTGGTTGTCCTGCTTTGACCGTGTCGACAAATATCACGGATTACCTCTTTCAAGTCCGCTATTGTTATGGTAAGTGCACTGCAACCTACGTGTTGGCAACGATTGACCGTTCATCTACGCGTACTCTTCTAAATTATCTAAAGAATTATGCAGCGCCTATTCGCGCGGCAGCCAGGAGAATAATTTCCCCGAAAGTCTACCTGTATAGTGTTCACAGATCGCTTGCACGTTTGTACTTGTCTACAGAAGAGGTAATAAACTTCGAGGAGAATTGAAAACAATCTTTTGTGTCGGTTTTCCTGTCCACTTACAAGCACCTACGCGAGTGCATTTGTTCTACGTGTTTTCTCCATGTTCTAAATGCGTTTATGAGTTTCGGGACGTCTTAAATATGTTTGAGATAACCAACCTCCCAGACGATACCCATTTAGGGCTAGCGCATAATTTGCAATTTCGAAGGGCACGTTCAAACGTGTGGTCACGTGCCATGTCGAACGGGTGCTCGTACCGTACGGCACCCGTATCAAACGGGCACCTGTATCAAACGGGTACCGTTTCCAAACGGGTACCCGTATCCCATAATCACGTTTGATCCAAACGGATCGACAGGTTTGATTCAAACGGGCGACCAGTTTGCCACCCGTTTGAATTTCAAATGGTTTTTTTCAGTAGGGTAGTCACTGGGAAGTGTATGAGTTTGTGAATGTTTAGTTTTAAATTTCTTATGCAACGAAAAGCGCTGTTAGCAGCTCGTGCACTCTTCTCGTGTCCTGGTAACGTCGTCTTCCTCTTGCTCTATACCTTCAAGGAAGGATGGGTAACGAAACGAATGAGTTTAATCATTATTGTATGCTTCCATTTTATATATGCCTGACACGAAGAATACATCAACATCCCAACAACGTACAGTCTTTTTACTTTTGTTGAACTTTCGATGCATTCATAAAAAATCTCCATTTAATTTCAATGTTCGGGGGAGCGGTTTGGTCCTACGATGCATATATGTAGGGAGAAAAACAAAAAGAAAACCGACAGGCGTGTTAATCCTTCCCTCACTTTTCTCTCCCTAAATGTGAGTGTCTGCATAAGTTTTATTTTATAACAGAAATTATTTGTGGCTGCGTAAGAGGAATCGGTTGCAAGTGTAACATTATTTTATTGATGTACACCCGTTGGGGAGTTTGCAAGGTTTAGGTATCAGATCTACGCTTTCCTTTCGAACGATATGCACTTTCTTTTTTCAGTGTACAAGAAGACACTATCATCGGCAAGTACGTTATTCCCAAAGGAACTATGGTTCTGATTAACCTCATGGGAGTGCACAAAAATCCCGATCTTTGGGAGAATCCGGATAGATTCGATCCAACACGATTCTTAACAGCCGACGGCAGTGAACTGGAGAAGAAACCGGGGCACCTCATCCCTTTCTCGCTTGGTAAGATATGAATTTGAACAATTGGCTTAAATAACTTTACCGTTTAACCTAGGGAACGCGACAGAACAGCCCATGTCAAAACAGAACAGGACAAAACAGCACGCGTCAAAGCAGCACGCATCAAAACAGCACGGCGTCAAAGTAGCACGCCCCAAAACAGCACTGCGTCATTGCAGCACAGCGACAAAGGGAGCATGCAAAACAAAAAAGCACCAAACCAGCCCAGCGACAAAGCAGCTCGCGCGTAACGTATTCGCGACTCCAGCGACCTGTAGGGGGCGCCACCACCAAACAAACATGGCGGCTGAGTCCAGGTCGCGTTGGCTCGGCCGGGCCGCCTGAATAGGTGGCGCGTTCAATTTAACATATTTTATTTTGTTTAATGCACAATTTGGTAGGTATTTGAACTGATACGGTTAGTGTAGCCGGTGCACATAAACTTGCAAAACATACACACTAAACATCGTAACACCCTTGTGGGTGTAAATGGCTTGTCCTATAACTAACACCCATTTGGGTGTACCAAAACGCCCTAACCAATGGGCGTTAATGCTATCACCCCTAAAATAGGGTGTTTTCCCTAACACCCTTAAAGGAAGGCGTTTTTCCGAACAGCCTTAAATTAGGGTGTGATTCCACTACACATTTTTATTAGGGCGTTATGACTGCGCAGCACGCCCTCTAAATTAAGTGTATCACCGCCAGAAAGGGAAATGAAAAAAGCGCGATTACCAACACCCATAAAGTAGGGCGTAATAACCCAAAAGAGTGCACGAAAAAATGAATGCAAATGCCTGGTTCACTTTTTATTTTTTAATCAAGGTTTCAACAGGTTCTACAAAATTCTCTATAGACGATTGCAAGCAGGTCATCTGGCCGTAGCCATGTCTCCGCTTTTGCGGGCAGGTGCGTGCAACTACAAGAGTGCCAAGGGGAAAAGCTACGTTCACGCGCACGTCATCAAAATTGGCGAAGGCAAGACTGAAAGAAATAGTTCTCTTTTATCCTCGCAATTCCACCACGACCAAGACATTTATAAACCAGTGGCGGTCCGTGCGTGTAAGTTCATGATTATTTCAACCGGATATCGTTTCATAACCCCTTCAAATTGTACAACCGAAGGCCCTAGTTGAATCTCCAACAGTACTTTTCTTGTGACGTTTATGCTTCCTTGCACTGGTCACGTGGACAAAACTGGCAGGCTTGCAAAGACGGTACGACCGGGAGTTTCTTGAGGACGCAAGCGGCAGTTCATGTTTGTAAACCGTAAAATGGTCTATCGAAACGGAAGCAGGGAGGCTATGTTCGACAAATGTTTCGTTACTCCTAAAAATAAACGGAAGTGGCGGAAGTGACGATATCGCGTTTGATTGGTTAGAAGTTCAAATGACGAAAGTTACCTATTTTCGCCATTTTACCTTCTAATCAATCAAACGCGATATTGTCGCTTCCGTCACTTCCGTTTCTTTTTAGGAGAAATTAAACATTTGTCGAACATAGCCCCCTTAGACTACTATCAGAAGCATCCTTGCAAAGTACTTACAAATGGAACAGCGGTCTGATGTAATCCGTGGTAGATGCATAATCCGATTCCGGCAGCGCAGAACTATCCACAAACACAATGTCGAGGATGAAGGCAGTCGCTCACACTCAGCGGAAGTTTCGCGGTCGCCGATGAGCACCTCTCTGTCGTGATAGATGCGTAATCCGATTCGGGCAGCACAAAACAACGCAAACACAATGCCGAGGTTGAGGGCGGTCAATTACATTCAACGGAAGTCTCGCGGCCGCCGATGAGCAGCTCTTTGTCGAAACGCGTCCAACAAATACAGCACAATAATTCCATGGACTCCGACGAAATAAACGACCATTTCCGAAAAGTTGGCATGGATGTATTCCGGCTGTTCTCGAAGAAACATCACGGCCGCGACTGAACCGCACGAAAAACAGGAATACACTGACGGGCGCCCCCCTTTTTGTGAACTGGACCTACGTGGCCCCTACAACTCACCGTGACTTGGCATACGGCAAAGACTACGGCCCCAGTAGCCCATCAGCGCGTCAGAGCGAGTCAGGTGACAAATTTTCGTCCAAGCGTCCTTGTCCTACGGAGAGCGGTCACGTGTTCCGCGCCACCCGTCTGATTTGCTAGAAGCGGCCTTCGAACTCGCTCACAGCAACACGAAGACACAAAAGAAGGTTTGGAGGCTTATCAGAAGACGAGGTCAAAGGGGGTTGGACAAAGCAGCTAATCTCCCTCTGCTGCTTTGTATTGCCACCCGCCCTGCCCAGGGAAGGTCGCGAAATCGGACTCGTCAGGACTTGCTTTGCGTAGTACAACCTTGAGCGTCTCAAACTGCCACTCATGTAGACGCGCATGCTCTGTTGCGGACCGCGAGATCACAAGATAAATACGAAAAACAATTTTGAACGCCGTCAAAGACGCGGTTTCAGGTGTACCAAATAAAAACCGAAAAAAAAAACAACAAAAAAACGTCAGGAAGCTAGATATTTTGGCGTCATTACGCAGAGATGAGTCGCGTCCCTGGGGATGTCAATAATCCGGCACTTTCGATTGTCTTGCGACATTGTTTCTTCAGAGCTACACTCCGAAATAAAGTCTCAGTGAATGGGCTATAAGCAGTGCGAAACCCAGTCAGGTGAGTTTGTAATATCCGAGATGAGAGCGCCACAGTTTGTTCACGTCTTCGGCTTAAAAGGTCTTTCACAGGTTAAAAGTAAGCAGATTCTATTTCGCTTAATCTTGCTTTATTTTGTTTTTTTACGTCGGATTTTAGGCGGTCAAGAAATAGAAATACCTCGCCGGGATAGCGGATTCACGCAGGACACTCTTGACAGTGAACCAAAAACGGCGCCACGTACGGTATGTCAGGATAGCGTCGACGCGACCCATGCCATTCTTTACATATATTGACTAGACCAAAATAATATCGGCACAATCTTTCCGATTTAAATCCATAACAGCGCAATACTGTGTGCTGCCTTGGTTGTATATTTATACGTCTTCGTTGAAAACAATCGTAAGGGTGCAGGCGAACTGGTGAATATTAACCATGTTGAAATAACCTGAGACTAGGGTACAGAAGAAGCATCAAAACGTAGAAGGGACAGAAAATAGACAGGACGACGTCTCAAACTCAACTTGAGCTGAGTTTGAGACGTCGTCCTGTCTAGTTTCTGTCCCTTCTACGTTTTGATGCTTCTTCTGTACCCTAGTCTCAGGTTATTTCAACATGGTTAACGTCTTCGTTCTTTTTTTTTTTTTTTGCGAGCGGAGATGACTTTTTTTTAATCATGGTTGACCCGATAAATCTGATGCACGCCCGAAACGTAATTTTAGGCTGGTGTCGAACGAAGAGCTCAATAGGAGCTGCAAAAAATATTCTCTAGCACTTCCTAATCATACGCGACTCCGTGTGGCGATTAATTATACTCGATGTTTGTACCGCCGTACATCAACAACAGTTTCACCAAAGCAATAAATATGAACGGCTATGAAATCATGGGTGTATTTGACAGCATCACCATTGCGCCTCTTTCACACCGTGTGGATGAAGGGTGTAAAATTCGCCCATACACCCTTTTTACACGATTTCAGACACCATCGCTGCAAGTGGGGCGTAAAAAGGGCGTTTAAAGGGTGTAAAACGTCAGCACACCCTTTTTACACCCACCGATATTCAAAAATCGTGTAAAAAGCGTGTAAAAAGGGTGTTTTTCCTAACCTACACCCTTCTTACACCCTTTTTACACGATTATGGGTGTTACAATGTTTAGTGTGTAGTTTTGTTTTCCCGGTGTTTTTTGTTTTGTTTTTTCATATCAAACTTTCGTTTCGGAGATTTCGTTCAAAACCAAAACTATGGGCTCCGGAGAGACGGTAATATACTAATCAGTTTTGACCATCTAAGGAAGGCGGCGATGACTACAGAGTTGTTCCACAGAGAGTAATTTGCAGCTAACTCGCATGCCTCGACCATGCGACTTATCTGTCCGCGAAAACGAGCTTTTGTGCGTATCCGCGTTTAAGAAACAGCTCCAGTCGTCTGCTCGGTCAACAACACAGTCTGCAGTAAAATCACGAAAATTAAGCAAACGCTTCTTGAGCCAAGGACCATGTTAACCCGCCGGCGCCCCACTAAGTAGCGTATTTCAATTCAGGTTTTAGTAGCATCGAGAAGTCACTTTGACGAGCGGGTTATGTATTACATTATGTACTATGTCCCACTAAAGCAATATTGGTATATTCTTCGGGTTGAAATATGAGCTTAGTTCACTAGCTATTCGGCGAACTTCTGAACAAGAGTATATTTGACAGAAAGAGAGATATTCTAGCTGGCAGCCCGGAGACAAACTGAACAGAGTCTTCATTGGAGATTCACGCAGAACCTCTCTGCATTGGACTTTGCTTCGAATCCTGAACGGAGAAAATGAGTATTTTTTGTGGCCGGTCACCCTGAGGAATGTAGACGTATATTGCTCCTGGCTTCGACGGGGTATAATATAAATATTGGTGGCGCGATAGATCGAAATGCCGTGACAGCTTCTAACGTTGCGGGACGCTTTCCTTACCTTTTGAAAACAGATAATTTCCCTCATTCATCATTTGCAGCGAGCAGGTTTTCCTGAATCAAGTAATTGCGATATCAGCCAAACTCTTTCAGTGTGGTCCAGAGGCTTTTTTTGGCGAAAAGCAGCCAAGATGAATAGCCAACGCACCGACCGGCGTGTGTGGCTCAAACTTGAAGCTAACCGAATACAACCAAACTCAAGAAAAGCAGCTATCGAACCTTCCCATTCACTTGACTGCAACATTGGTGTTCCCTCCAGTGAAATGCCTCGTCTGTCGTCCTGAGTCCACTGTTCTACATCCTTATAAGGAAACCACTTATCAGTTAATAAGTAGTCGTCACTTTGAATGTGATTCGAGACAGACAAGAAATCGAAACGTTTTTCCGTGATTCCTCCCCATCCAAGAAGTCGAAAGCACGCGACCGTGTGTTATGAAGTAAACGGGTTTTCAAACACGTAATAGAAGACAATCTACTGAGGCTTCACCACACTAATGATCGCTCGGGCAAACTTAAGAAATTTTCGGACCTTCGTCAATTTACATTGTTCGCCACCGCGCCGACAACACGTGTCCGCGAAAGCCACCGGAGACGCGGAGGGGCGCGGAGTGACCTGGACCGGCTGGTTCCCGGTTTTCCCGCTTGGTGCCGTCCGTTTTGCTGGAGTCGCGAATATTGCCGCGCGCGCAGTTAGTGAAGTAGGCAGCCCGCCCGTGGCCGAATCGTTATCCTGCTTCCACGCAGAGGTCAAGGGCAGAGGCCTGAAAGCGGACGCACTTTTTTAATGCCAAAGCATTAACTGTCCCATGCAGCAAGCCGACGTCATCCGCTTTTAAGCCGCGCCAAACGGCGCCTTAAATTCTTTCTCCGAGTGAAGCTCGGAGAAAGAATCCCAGCTATGAAACCCACCGAGTCCCAGCTATGAAACCACACGAAAAGCCTAGCCAAACGGCACCTAGTTTCCCCAATCCCAAAGGAGTGGAGTAAAGCTGAAAGATTTCGGCTTCGGTCCCATTGGCACGCGCGCGTCGACGGGGCTCCCATTGGCGCGCGTCAGTTTAAACGACAGCCACCCCATGGCGCTGTGTGTCCGTCAGCGCGCCGGTAAAACAAAACGTCCAAGGTTAGAGCGGCGAGGAGAGGGCGAGCTTTGCCGTCGACGCAAATGCGCTGCAGACGGAATAAGGAAGCGGAAGAACGACGTGCATGCTTTCGCATTGCCAACTCATAAGTGCTTATGTGTACCTCGAGCATTTTGTTATGTCTGTATGTGTCCTGTTTTAGTGTATTCGAGAACTATGTTACTTATTCGAGGTTCGAATGTTCGATTGTCCCAGAAGCCCACGCGTGTACATAAGGGGCTCCGCGTTGCGCGCCGGAGTCAATCTCGCCCCAATTCTCGATCCTGCTATATGGCAGACGTCAACATCTGCTGCGCAAACCTTCTTCTATTTTGTTTTGAGCACAACTTCACCCCACTAAACGTTTAGTTTCTCCAGTTATTAGCTGCTTAATCATTTGTCATTCATGACATTTACCTACGCTGCTGTGCGCGCAAAAACAACATCGAACAAAGGCAAATAAAAAAAAAGACGTTTACAACTCCCCGTAACACCGATTGGAGCGCAGCTTTTGAGGAGGAGGAGGAGAGGGTACTCAGGGGAGGGTATGCCCCTCTTGCTCATTCGTACCCTCTCCTCCTTCCCTCCCGCTTCTTTCACGCGTAAAACGCGCGTCGTCACGCGACGTTTCGGGGCGGTGACGAAACGTCAGGTGGCATTTCGTCACGGTGATGTTTCGGTAGGGTGACGCTTCGGCAAAATGACGTTTCGGCGCAAGTGCCGCGCCGAAACGTCACCGTGCCGAAACCTCACCGCGGTGCATTATGGGAAACGTCCCATAATGCACCGCGGTGACGTTTCGGCATGGGGACGTTTCGGCACCATGCCCAAACGCCACCGCGGTGCATCATGGGACATTTCGCATAATGCACCAAGCGGTTAAGCCGACGGCGACGCTGGCAGCGACGCCGACGCCGCTCAAGCGGGAACGGGCGCCTAAGAGCTGCGCTCTAAAAGACATAAACACATGAGCAGATAATAAATGGAGTCACGGGAGTGCCAATTCATTCAAATGCCAAAAACATATAAAAATTTTGCACTGGCAGAGGGCAAGGTTCGTTAATACTGGTTATAGAATTTAGATATGCGTGTTGCGAAAGAAGTTGGAATGCTACACCGAAATTTCGGCGCTCACTTTTATATGTGTTCAAAGGAGCAGTATCACATCGGACACACCAATATCTCGTTAAAAAATACACGAAAAAGAATTTTAAAACAAATTAAAGGATTAGCAAAGAGCACCTGGTGGTTGTTGCTAACACCTCATTTGTAATGCCCCGTCTAGGAACCTTGACTGGTAGTGACGATAACTGTCTCGCCTCCGGCCACCACGAGAGAAGAGGGGAAGGACGAACTCCCCTCTCCCCGATAGTCTTTTTTGCTTACCCCAGAAGTCGCTATTGTCCCTCTAGAAGATTATAGAACATTAGCCAGTCACTCTAAATTCGTACAAAAGCAGCCGGTTCGGTGGCTGGAACGACTAGGCCATCCTCTCGACGTCAGCCTCGCCGTAGCTTTGCTTATCCCGAGACATACTGCGTCACGATTGCATCGGATGTCACGTGATCTCTTCCGGCTGCTCTTCGAGCGCTTGCCAAAGTGGGCCGTTCATAACGAAAAATACAGCCACCAGGCTCAAAATACAAACGCGTGATTGTCATTTACGGTTATATATGGATCATATTCAACCTACTTTTTAACACGACTGGTATATTTCAAATTTCGTTTAAGTATCCCTCTAATCATATTTCTCCGGGGAGATCGTTCCATTTTGATATAGCTCTTAAAAAGAAAGAATACTTAAACGTACCAATAATTTGTCTCCTCTAAATTAATTTGATATGAATGAGTACTTAGAGGCCCAGATACACGGGGCGTTATATAGATACTTTTATTAAGGTAGGTTCTCGAGCCTGACGCAGCACATTCTTTTTGGCAGCCTAACAACTTCTGTTTGGTGAGGCTTTGATCTCTCTTCAGAGCGTCGATGAGACGGTGTGGGACTGCATGCTGAAAACAAAGGAAGGACTGAAGAGTCCTGTGTAACTCCTCTGCGCTTTTGCTGGTCTTGGGGAGTTGGTCAAAGACGCGCTCATGGCAGCTCTAGAGTTGCGATGGAAAGTGGGGCTCCCGGCAAGCCCGGTTCCTCCTCAACGGCCCGCAAGTGTACGTACACTCGATGTACAGTCGTGTGCGATATGAAGGTGAACGCCGGGCCGTCGACCGCTCCGTGCTATCAGCGCCATGACGCGGCTGCCGTGGCAGCCACGTCATGGCGCTGATAGCATGGGGCGGTCGACGGTCCGGCGTTCACCTTCATATTGCCGGCGGGTGTACCCAAGCACTGACGGCATGCTGCCATCTTGGTTGCTAACATGGTTCTGAATGTCTCCAAGACGTCATTAAACAAACGTTAATGAGATTATCATACTTGCCGCTGCGTTCCTCAACAGTGACGTCACCATGCTAGCGTTTTAAAGTGAGGGGCGCTAGGTTGTTTCTCTTCGCATAAAACCACGTTTTTGTCACTTCGCTGATTTTACCCTGTGCTACTTTGGCACTCTTTTATGATTTGCCTTTTGACGCTGTACTTTATTGCCCCGAGCTAATTTGACGCGCGCTGTTTAGTCACTGTACTATTTTGACGCCGTTCTGTTTTGATGCGTGCTGTTTTGACACGTGCTGTTGCGGCGCATGCTATTTGTTGTGTGCTGATATGTCATGATCTGTTATCTCATGCATTTTTCTGGCACGGTGCTCTTAATGCAAACAGTGTTATTTTTCATAATTGCTTCTAGGCAAAAGAAAATGTCCGGCAGAGAAGCTGGGGTACGTCGAAATGTTTCTGTACCTATCAACCCTTCTGCAGAGATTCAGCGTGTTTCCTGATAAGGGAACAGTTCTGCCTGACCTCGAATGCCCGACCACACCTTGTAGGGATACCTCTTTGAAGATGTTGCGCTTTGTCACTCGCCCATAGCCGCTGCAAGAACGCACCTGGAAGAGTCGACCTTTTAAAAAGGGTTTTTGGGGTTTACGCGTACTCCGTATTTTTTTAAATTGAATGATCTTCTGACGGTTTCGTCTCACTTATACGCAATTGAAGGTCTTATCGCAAGGATACTGTAGGTGATCCGTCTTTGATCGTCGATGGTAACCTTGTATCAGATGACAACAAAAAGGCTATGACCTTCAATGGTTACCTTAGGTCCGTGTTTGCGGATGTCACCACGTGCCACTGCACACACTCAGATGTTGCTGCTGATCTTATGGTATACATTCCCGAAATTCAATTCTATGTGCAAGGCATTTTTCAACTGCTAACCAAAAATAAAATCACGGTTCAGCGTCTGGTCCCGATGGTATGTATGCTATGGTATGTTCCTCATTTCCGCACGAATCATGTTTACAATCCCTTCGCCATATGTTACCGTCTCTACTCAAGAGGTACCATCTATAAAATATAGATATATACTCTCTGACTAGAGCTGAATTGTATCAGTGTTTTATCTAACGCGGATGTATCTGTAGGACTTTTTTTTCTCGCTTTTGCATAATATGCTTGCTGCCGAACGCGCCTGCGCTCTCACTTGGTTACTATGTTTATTGTTACTTAGGTACATGCCTCGTTGATAAGAGAAATTCTATATGCTGTACAACAAGTATTTTCAATGTATAATACATTTCAGCCAGATTGCTATGCTTGTTTTGCTTTAGGGCCCCAGACCCCGTCAAGTTACCATATGGTAGCTTTTTGCCTGGAGGCCCGCCAGAGTAAATTTCTGGAAATAAAGATTTCATTTCATTTCATATTCCAAACACTATTTTAAATTCTTGTGCTGATATTATCTCTTGTTGCTTGGTCATTATATATACTGCATCCTTAAACTCTGGTTCTTTACCACTTGACTGGAACCTTGCAAATGTTGTCCCGATCCACAAGTCTGGTCCCAAGAATCTGGTTGAGAACTATAGGCCTATCTCTCTCTCGAACGAATCCTGTAAAACAATGGAGCACATGATTTACAGCAATATCATGAACAGAGGTCGGCATTTTAGGTCGCCCTCACTCACCCTCACCCTCACAGCCACACTCACCTAAGCCCCTCACTCACCCTTACCCTCACAGCTACACTCACCTTCAGCCCCTCACTCACCCTCACCCTCACAGTCACACTCACCTTCAGCCCTTCACTCACCCTCACTGAACCTCACGGCCCTCACGCACTCACCGCCCTCACGGCCCTCACGCCCCTCACGGCCCTCACGCCCCTCACCGCCCTCACGGCCCTCACGGCCCTCACGCCCCTCACGCCCCTCACTCACTCATGGCCCTCACGCCACTCACCGCCCTCACGGCACTCACCGCCCTCACGGCCCTCATGGCCCTCACCGCCCTCACCGCCCTCACGGCCCTCACGCACTCATAGCCCTCACCGTCCTCACGGCCCTCACGGCCCTCACGGCCCTCACGGTCTCACGCACTCATAGCCCTCACGCACTCATAGCCCTCATGCCACTCACCGCCCTCACGGCCCTCACCGCCCTCACGGCCCTCACGGTCCTCACGCCACTCACCGCCCTCACGCCACTCACCGCCCTCACGCCACTCACCGCCCTCACGCCACTCGCGCACTCATGGCCCTCACGCCACTCAGGCCAGCTTCAGATGGGCCAATTTCGCCCAGAAACTTTACGTCGCAACACCAGCAACACGCGCCACCCGCGATCACACGCAGCAACCAATTGCTGCAATTTGCCATCGTCATCATAAAATTTTATTTTTCTTGCACTATTTAGACACCATTACGCGTTATAAACGTGTTTTTTTCTTTGCATTTAAATTTCATTAAGAATACTAATGCACCTTTCTGAAACAGTTTATTTCCAAAAAAAAACCGATCGATTTCAAACGAGAACCAAGTCTTTCGGTGTCATCATCACTGGCACGAGGTATCACGTAAAAATTTTGCGTCCCTGATTAGATGCAGCCGCTTCAAACGTATTCGAATTGCTCCGAGTTGCTTGCTTATTTCGAGCCGGACCCGATCTCAGCAATTCATGTCGATCTAGGGAAAGCTAGAGAACAACCCGCCATTAACCAAAATTGCTGAGAAAGATGCTCGATCTGAAGGGGGCCTCACGCACTCACCGCCCTCACGGCCCTCACGCCTCTCATGCCACTCACTGCCCTCACGCACTCATGGCCCTCACACGTCTCACGCACACACCGCCCTCACACCACTCACGCACTCATGGCCCTCACGCCACTCACCGCCCTCACGCCCCTCACGCACTCATGGCCCTCATACCCCTCACCGCCCTCATGGCCCTCATGGCCCTCATGGCCCTCACGACCTTCACCGCCCTCACCGCCCTCATGGCCCTCACGGCCCTCACCGCCCTCATGGCCCTCACGGCCCTCACCGCCCTCATGGCCCTCACCGCCCTCATCGCCCTCACGGCCCTCACCGCCCTCACAGCCCTCACCGCCCTCACAGCCCTCACGGCCCTCACGGCCCTCACTCACCCTCACACTCATGAATTTTCCTGGTTCAGAAACTCACTCAACCTCACCTCACCTGTGAAGATGAGAGTGAGTGAGGGTGAGTGAGGGCCCTCATGAGTGAGGTTTGCCGAGGTATGATCATGAATCACCTAGCACTAATTTTTTTTTTTTTTACTCCGGCTCAGCAAGGTTTCCACACCGGGTCATCTTGCACGACGCAGTTAACAGAATTCTATCATGATATAGCACTATCATTCGATAGAAGTAAGCACGTCGACTGCTTTTTTTAGGATTTAGAAAAGAAAACTTTCGGTATGGTTCCTCATGCTCTCCTAATATTTTAATGTCAGAAGCTTAATATTGATCCTAACGTTATTTGTTGGATAGTTGATTACTTGAATTCCAAGAAACAGTTCTGGTTTATAAATAAAATCCAGTTCCCGTATGCAAATGCTACTTCTGGTGTTCCTCAGGGATCGGCGCTAGAATCGCACTTGTTTTTCATTTTTATTAGCGATATAGTTGAAAACGTTTCCTCTAACACAAGATTATATGCCCATGACTGTGTTTTATACAGAGACGTCGCTAGCAACCCTTACATGTTTGCTCTCCAAAGCGACTCAGATAAGACTGAGGCTTAGTGTTTTAAATGGGGCATGTTTTATGTCTATCGAAATGTATTCACATCAAGTTCACTACGAAAAATAATTTTTTTGCCTCATCATACTCTATTTGTGCGTCGCCGGTTAAACTTTTAACTTAGGCTAAGTACGTAAGGGAGTTATTTTTTTATCAGCTCTAACTTGGGACAAACATGTTGACTACTTTACTGTAAAGGCTCGTCGGTCACTAGGTTTTATTAAACCTAATTTTAGGTTGACTTCATCACAGCTTAAAGAAACCTTGTATTTTTCACATGTACGATCCATTCTTGATTATGCGTATACAATCTGGGACCGCTATATACTAAATTTGGAAGATCGGATTGAAAAAAATCCAGAATCGCGCTGCCAGTTTTGTTACGGGAAATTATGATTTCAGAGTAAGTGTTACTGAACTGAAGTCGTATCTGGGTTGGAGGCCTCTGAGTCGGAGACTTGAATGCCTCCGTTTGAAACTTTTGTTTGACATTTTTCACGAAAATATTTTCACTCTACATTAACATATCTCATACAGCTTGCTTACCTGTCTCTCAGAAATGATAATTCGAAAAAGATTCGTTCAATTAAATGTAAAACCGATGTTTTTAAATGTTCTTTTTTTTCCGTGGTCAATTAATGTCTAGAAAAAACTACCAAATGAGGTTGTAAAAATCTAAATGTCTGAGCTGTTTTTTGACGAACTCCAGTTGTTTGTTTACATCTCATATTCAAGTGTCTCTAAGATTCGGATTTGTTGTGTTCCTTCCGTGTATAACGATGTTTCATATTTGTTCTGCCTTTTTGGTCATGTATGCTGTTTTTTTACTGTAATGCTGTTTTTTACTGTTTTTTTTTACTGTAATGCTTACTGTAATGCCTTTTTTAGGCTTTGTAGGTATTCAAATAAAAAAATAAATACAATGCACCATATAGATGGGGAGCGAGGTAAGATTCTACGGCTGCACTTGTCAATCTTACCTCGCTCCCGATACATATGCGGTGCAACCTGTGCCCATGTGAAGGAGAGATTCCTTAAGTACATTGGAAGACGCCCCCTTTCCGGCATTTGCGAGCTGAAATGAAGTGCTATGTCACTGCTGCAACTCGTTATTCCTGCGCGCACACAGGTAAGACGGACTCGTTGGTTCCACGTCGGCAGGAGCGAATAAGATACCTTAGGTAGGGATGTTCGGCGTCTCCACTTAGGCCTTTGTGCACCGACTGGGAGTTCGACAATGTCGCAGGAACCTTATCAGAGATGGGGAATGTTGTGCGAAGATAACTGCAATACTCACTGCCCAAGAAAACAGGGCGTGTCTTAACATTTTCACGTCTCTTGTTTGGTGACTTGTTTTCGGCGTCTTATCGGTCAATGCCGCAACTTCGTTGGCTGCGAAGTGGTAATGTCTTCGGGCCTTGTCAGTATAAAAAATAAAAATAAAATATGATATCGGGACTGGCCAAGGTCCTACTTTCCTTGTGCTCTCACTGACTGTAGGCCATAATAATGTACGCTAAAGGGGGTCAAGCTGGCGCTAGTGTGCTGTTGCAAATTGAAGCAGACAGCAACCACTAGAAAAGAGACTCGTGGTAATGGATTCCTATGGGGAAAAGCGGGAGCATTTGTTCTTTGCGCTCGATTATGAGAGCAAATATTGGGAATAATTGTAACGCGGTAAATAGCGTAGGACATTTCTGAATCACTTAAATCAAAATATTGGTCAGTTACGGTGTGTTTCTTTCTAATGTATGGCACTATGCACAGTGCTAAAACACCTCCATACATGCATTTGTATGCACTGTTGGACACTGTTAGTGCGTACACAGCATCGGCGCTTTTCGGCAGAGGGGATTTGAGTACAAGACGAACGAGGGACACCTTGAAAACCAAGAGAAACGTTAAGAACTTTGCAGTAACTCTGGATCAGTAACTCTCTGTGCATGAAGACGATAAAAAAATAATGAAGGCCAAGGAATTATAGACGCATTTGGAATAAATCCGTACCGCTTTATTTTCTCTGCTCGTGCATCTGTGCGAAGATGCTTGTTCTTCATTGAGAACATCACCCGCACACTCGAAATCTTTGAAAATGGGGCGAAGCCAGAAAACAGGTGCACGATAAAAGCTGGCCGGCATAGGAAATAATAAAATAAAAGACCTTTCATTGCCCAGGTACTTTATTATTCTTTAGGTTAGGAATGTTTTAACCGCTCGTAAAGGTGTGCGACGGGGTCATTTTCATACAGTGACAGGACTGGAATATTAGCAATACATACGCGACACCGGAATGCTGACGAATCCTGAACACACTCTACATTCCTTTCGAATGTCATTTTGCTTATAACCGCCGCCTCTTTTTACCCACCTGATGTGGAACAAAGGTTTTAGCCTAAAATATACCAAAGCTTAACTTCGTTCACCGATGAAGAAAATACTGTAACTAATGCAACTACACTTTTACAATGATAACAAAGGTGCATTTTATTCGGTAAAACCCAAATAACAAAAGCATGTTATTTCCCGGCGAAGAAAGAAAATACACGCGCGTTTTCTAGTCGGAATGCACAGGAGCTCCGCAAAAGTAGATTGGTCACTGCATGGAGGTAGAAAGGTTTTTGGAGGCGACCTGACGCCACCAGAGGTAAGCCAAGAGAAACTTCCGGTTTGGAGGGGCACGTCCGTAACGACACCCCAAACCAAAAGACGCTATTGGGCGGACCTGTGCACCCTTGGACGCTATTAGACGGACTTGGACACCCTTAAGGGCGTTCCCAGCTTCCGTGACCTTTACTTCAGGCTTCACTTTTCTCGTACGGCTGGCTTGGGTCGGTCTCGGTATGTCGCCTCCTCTTATTTCAACCTCCAGGTGTGACTGTCTGCTTTAATTTGCATCCAGGATGTCACATAGACGCTAGCGCCTCATGAACCTCTAGCGTATATTTTAATGGCTCTATGGTATAGATTGGCACGTGGGTTGGCAGGTGGAGTGGAATAAATGAATCTAGAAAGATAGAAAGGAATAAAGGAATCTGGTACCGATTTTTCGTGCGCGACAGAGCCGTCAGTAAAAGCGATATTAAAATTTTTTAAGGTGGCTATTTAGTAAGCCATTTTTCTGAACCGAAATAAACACACAGAAATGTTTAGGTATGTTTTTTGCAGGTATTAGAGTAGCGGGTGCTGTACAGTGCCTCACGCTTAGTGTATTTATAGTGCTCCAGGGACAAAGACGATTACGTGCTTTTTGATTTTAAAGAATGATAAGAAAGATATATAGGCTTCTCGAAGATATTTGAGCAAGAGATAAAATTCTCGCTTTAGTAATGAAAAGAAAAGAAATGGAATTATAATTTTATTGGGATTTAGTCCCATTAAGACTTGAGCTAAATATTGATCGGCAGCGCACCATGTTTTCAATTGCAGTTGTTGGCGTCGAAGAAGGCTTGTGACAATTATCGAGCTTTGCATTATGCACTGAGAGCCAAGGAAACGCAAGGCCTGGCTTACTGATATTCGCACTCCCTGATTCCCTTTGCGGCATTCTCGTTGGCCTCAGTATGCTGAGGAGCGATTGTAGGTTGCTCGGAACTCGCCACGTCCGGCCCTTCTTAAACTAACACTGACTAGGATACGATAATCTTTGTAGAAAACAAATTCAAGCAACTGTTTTTGTAGACACCACGGTCTGAATGCCTCACTGCAATAGGCGAAGAATCAATGAATTGTGTTGATGAGCAAAAAAAAAAAAAAAAAATTCGCTTCTTTCATACCTGAGACCTTTTATAAGGTAGTATATATCCTCTGTTCGCAAATATGCTTTATTGCGCAAAAAAGTCTCAAAAGCATGGAGTCGTCGAGGTGAAACAAACTACACCGAATTTACTTAACAAAACTAACAATTCATTGGAACGGTTCGTCTCTCATTCAGGGGACTTTAGACCAAGACGAAGGGCGAATTTGTCTCCGTTGCTTGGTGACGGGTCACAATTTTTGACTTCGAGTATACGTGGACCTTGGCGTGAGAAGAAAGGTGGGGCCTAAGACGATACTTAGAATCATGTGTCCGGAGTGATTCGTCGGCCTGCACCGTTTTCCTTGGTCCCATTCCCAGAATTTACGCTCACGCCCTTAATTAGCTCCCCAGGCCGCACGTCAGAGAAACGCCTAACTTGGCCAAAGTTTGGAAGTCCTATGGGGACCTAACTTGGGCCTAATAAGGTTTTGCTACAAGGTGTTACTGCCAAAGGACTTATTTTTGGCTTTTCTATGGCTTTTCTCTGGTTCTCCCCATAGTTGCCACAGTGCCAGATATGAGCCAAAATGCAATGTACCAACCAAACACCTGTAGTGAAGCCTAATCCGCGCACTTATTGAACTCATTAGGCATAGAGTTTTCACATGGAAATCGAACAACCAGAAGTGATGCATTTCATCCTGAAATTTCCTAGAAAACGGAGTCCCCAAAAAGCCACGGGACAAACGAACCTCCAGGCAACGAAGCCTAACTCTGGCACTTGTTTCGCAGTTTAGTGACAGACTACCCCTACTCTGGCCGTAGGACATCAGGTTAGCTATACCTTTGATTTTAAGGATTCCAGGTCCTTAAATGGTCAGATAAAAAACAAACTCTGGCTGGCCCAGAAAACTGCGCGACTTGAGACTATACTTGCTAACGAGTGTTCTCATTCTGGCATCGCTGAGGATATCTTTTGTATGGGGGACAAAACGTCTGTTTAAATTGTTATTTTTGTTGTGTCAAGTCGGTGTAGTTTGTTTTATCATGCTCTGTCACTGCATGTTGGTGAAGCTTCGCATTAAAAAGTGTGATCAAAACTTTAACCTGCATATCCGCAAGAAAGTTGTGCTTGTTTGTCGCTTTAGTGTGATGAGTCCGTAGAAGGCACCAATGTGTTGTTGGCGACGGCTCCAGAGCCGGACTTGGGGTGATCGGCCCAGCTGGGGTACGTCGTCAGTCCAAAAATTGGGAACCCCAGGGCGTGGATCATGGCCACTTCCACGAGGACGCATATTGTGTTCATGATGAATCCCGGCTTGGCCTGCACGGGAAGGCAGAACGCTTTCGCTCTAGCCTCTGAAGACCGGCAGCCTTTCAATACCAGCTTATCTAAGGACTTGCGCATAAGGAAAAAACAGATAAGAAAGAAATGTTGGCGGGCAATAATTCTAAAAATGTCGGAAATCTTAAAAGCAAAGTAGGGATGAACACTGCTATAAATTATTAATTAATTTATGTATTTCATTTCCCTAAAGGCCCGAAGGTATTACATAGTGGATTCGGATAAACAAGAATAGTGTATAATCAGAAATATACGATCACTATAAGCCACGCACTAAAAGATACAAAACAGAAAATTTAAGCAAAATTAAGTTATGAAATTATAGAACAAAGCAAACTGAGAGGTTTTAATATTAACACAAGCAAGCCGTCATCGGATTTTTAAATAAATGTAAGCTTGGTATGTATACTAAATGTGCAGGAAGGTTCGGAAAATTTTCTAGGGATGAATGAGTTGTGGTAAGCTGAAGTAATGCAATGAGTAATTTCGACTTTAAGTTGATGGAAACTGTGAAACGAAAGCCGGATTTAACATAAGTTTGTTTCCAGTGAACTATTGGAATGATACATTTTACTATTTTATAAAAAAGACAGAGATGAGATATTTTTCTGCGTATAAAATAGGGGGAAGTAATCAATTAGTTTTCATAGTTGAGACACCAGCTGTGCGATGATAATGGATATAAAACGGGCGCCGAGATTCTGTAGGACCACAAGGCCATGCCATGAGAGTTTTGAGCACTGGATTCTGGATTGCTGCGGCGTAGTCTAGTTTAGAACGGACAAGAGTTTTATACATTAGTAGTTTTAAGACAGTGGGGCTAACCTAACATGTATCCTTAGGTAACAAGCATAAAATTAATGTTAGCGATAATGTGACCAGTATGCGTTTTCCATGGCATGTTAGAAGTGGTGTGTACACCAAGGTACTTGTAGCAGGCTACAGATTTAAAAGGGATATCTGAAATTGAGTAAATTGAAGAGATTCAACAAGAGATGTTCATAACTTTACATTTGTTAATATGCCCCATGTGGCACCATTCAGCTATCACTTGTAAAAAATTTGAATAAGTAACTTCCCGATAAATTACACAATCAAAAGCGAGAAGGCTGATAGATGAAGATACACACAATGGTAAGTCATTTCCATAAATTCAAAGCAATAAGGGTCCCAAAATACCAGGTTGAATATCTGAAGTAACAGGTTGGAAAGAAGAATTTACATCACTATCGTTAACGAACTGAGAAAGATTAGTTAAAAAAGATCTAATTTAGGACAGAACGTTGGGATCGAGGTTCAGTTAACTGTGTTTGAAACGTAAACGTTTAGGAGAAACTTTGTCAAAGGCTTAACAAAAATCTAAAGACGCAGTCAATCTGGGATCCAAGGTCTAGTATGGAGAGCAGATCATTAGTTAAGGTCAGTAGTTGAGTCACACTGGAAAGAGATTTACGAGCGCGATGGTCTTAGGTTAAATAAAAAAAAAGTTAAAGTCCAAGCAGTTAACCAAATTAGTGAATACTATGTGCTCTAAAAGTTTTGTAAGGTGTGCTGATTAAGGAACTGGGGCGGTAGTTAAGAGGTCTATTTTTATAACCAGACTTGCGAAGTAGAACCACCTCCCCTATTTTCCACTCTTCAGGTAACACACCAAAAGCAAGAAATTGCTCAAAAATCTTGAAAATATTAATTGAGATGTAATTTCTGGTACTCCTAAGAATTGTTGAGGTTACATTGTCAACACCAAAATAAGATACATTTAAGTTATCGAGCAGATTTGTAATCCCGTCATAATCATTAACAAGTTGACCTATGGGAGAAAAGTAATAATTAGGGTGCATAGTTGCTAGCAGTCATCACCTTTAGAAAATACGAGTACTTGAAAGGATAAAACATCGAGGACGAGGACGGGGACTTCTTTTGAAAGAAGTCCTGTTTCTGTAAGAAGTCCTGTTTCCGTCCCCGTGTTAGATGCTTTATCCTTTCAAGTATTCGTATCTATTCACCAACACGCTCGTTTTCAATTATTGCTTTAGAAAACGTTTTTTACAATATATCATCTAGAATAAAGGTACCATAAATATTTGAAATAACAACAAAATTGTTTTCACTGGACGAAAGTACCCTCTTGTTGTTTCAATTCATAACACTCCAAAACACTCTAAAATGGTACGGTCACATGAAAAAATTAGACGTTTACAAATCTCTGTAGCGCAAAATTAGAGCGCAGCTCTTGAGGAAGAGGAGAGGAGGGTAGGGAAGGGAGGGTATGCACCCTCTTCTTCCTCCGTACCCTCTCCTCCTCCCGTCTCCCGTCCTCCTCCCCTCTTCCTATGCTCCTCGTGCTCTCCTCCTCTCATCCTCCTCCTCTCCTACTCCTCCTCCTAATCTCAACTCCTCCTCCCCTCCCCCTCATCCTGCCCCTACTCCTCCTTTCATCCTCCTCCTCATCTCTTCCTCCTCTTCCCCTCCTCCTTATGTCAGCTCCTCTCCCCTCCCTCCTCCTCTCCCCTACTCACCCTCTCCTCTCTTATCTCTTCCCTACCCCTCCACCTCGTCTCCCCTCCTCCTCCCATCCAGCTCCTCCTCCTTTCCTACTCCTCCTCCTCCCATCCTCCTCCTTTTCCTCCTCCTCCGCACGTGACGTCAATTTTCCCGCTATATCTAGCGGAGAAACTGGATGTGTTCATAGGTGACGTCACAGCAAGAAATGTGACGTAATTTTCCCCGCTAAATTTAGCGGGAAACTGAATTGGTATTGAGGTCACGTGACTTCAATTATCCCGCTAAATTTAGCGGGGAATTGAATTGCTGTTGAGGTTACGTGACGTCCATTTTCCCGGTGAATCTAGCGGAGAAACTGTATTTGTTCATAGGTGACGTGACAACGAGTCATGTGACGTCATTTTACCCGCTAAATTTAGCGGGATACTGAATTGGTATTGAGCTCACGTGACTTCAATTATCCCGCTAAATTTAGCGGGGAATTGAATTGCAGTTGAGGTTACGTGACGTCCATTTTTCCGGTGAATCTAGCGGAGAAACTGTATTTGTTCATAGGTGACGTGACAACAAGTCATGTGACGTCATTTTCCCCGCTAAATTTAGCGGGGTACTGAATTGGTGTTGAGGTAAAGTGACGTCAATTTGGACGCTAATTTTAGCGCGATTACGCTGCTGCCGAAACGCGAAACCCGGGAACGAGCGTCTAGGAGCTGTGCTCTAAACAATTTGCTTGACGTCCTTAATCGCTAATTTATAAGTATCCTCAGCTGAGTTATAGGTTTTCCAACGTGCGTCACTACAAGATAGAATTGCAAAATCGAAAAGAACGTTTCTATTATTTTTAAAGCGCAGATCTTAGGCGCCCGCTTCCGTGTTTTTTATGGCGTCGGCGTCTGCGTAACCGCGCTAAATTTAGCGGGAAAATTGACGTCACGTCACCTCAACACCAACTTAACCGCTAAGTTGAGCAAGGAAATTCAGTTTCTCCGCTAGATTTGTCGGGAAAATTTTCCGCTAAATTCGGGGAATTGGATCGGTGTCGAGGTCATGTGACGTCAAGTTTCTGGCTCAATCTAACGGAGAAATTGAATTTGTCCGCTAAATCTAGCGAAGAAACTGAATTTCCTTGATAAATTCAGGGGAAAATCGAATTAAAATTGATGTCACGTGACGTTCATTTTCTCGCTAGATCTAGTGGAGGAACTGAATTCGTTCATAGGAGGTACGTGACACCAAGTCATGTGACGTCATTTCTCCCGATAAATTTAGCGCGGAAACTGAATTGGTGTTGAGGTCATGTGACGTCAATTTTGGAGCGCAGCTCTTAGGCGCCCGTTTCCCAGTTGAGCGGCGTTGGCGTCGGTGTCGGCGTAACCGCGCACGTTCCATTACGGGACATCACAGCTTCCCCGCTAAATTTAGCGGGGAAACTGAATTGGTGTTGAGGTCACGTGACGTAAATTTTCCCGCTAAATTGAGCAGGGAAATTTTAGCTAATTTTCCGTCTAAATGGGAAGGCGAGCAGGGGAGGAGGGTATGGAGGGGGGAAGAGGGGTATACCCTCCCCTCCGTATCCTCCCCTCCTCCTCCTCAAGAGCTGCGCTCTAACTCGGCGTTGCAGAGGTTTGTAAACGTCTTTCATTCTGTTTTATTAAGGCATTTTTAGTTTTACATTAAATTTGGTAGACCAGGAATTAGACTTAATAGATGTGTATGCAATGAACACATTAATTAGAGATTGATTTATCTTAAAATACGGTCCCATTGCTTTCAACGTAACGTTCTGAGAACTTCAGAAGAAAGTAATCAAGGAAGCCAGGTTATTGAATCACTATCTTTCTTACTATATTAAAAATATTTTTGTTCATTTACTTGAAATGGACATTGAAGTAAGTGAGCTGAAATGTAGACTAGAATGATCGCTAATGCCCGGTAGTAGATTATGGTAAAGGAAAGGGGAATGTCAGAGGAGAAAATGAGATCTATACTTTGCGACAACTTTTCTTGGCAATGCAGTGGAAGGTGCAGGCCCGCGTCCCCTCTCCCATTTTGAGTGTACGCAGGCTCTCCTCCTTCCCCATTTTCGGGGAGAGGAGGAGAGCCCGCGCACGCTCAAAATGGGAGGGGGGACGCGGGCCTGTACCTTCCACTGCATTGCCAAGAAAAGTTGTCGCGGAGTATAGTACAGTGGCCGCAGGACCAGTGACTCCTATGCGTTCAGCAACAAGTCGCAAAAAAGGAAACTCCGAGCAAAGATTGAAGAAGTCGGAGTAGATTAAAGAGTTGCAACTAGGCATTGGACATGCCCAGACCTCTCGATGAGGGGAAGGTTAAAATCGCCGAGTGGGAACGAGGGTGCAAGAGGAAACCTAGTTGTAATTGTGCAAAATGCATCATGGAAGTCAAAGCAGAAAGAAATGGACGCATTAAGCGGACGATAACAGGCGCACAAAAAACAATTTATATAGCTAGAGTTTAAACACATGCAAACCAGTTCAAGTAAGGCAGCAATTTCTCCATGCCAACGTTCAAGGTTTTCATTTAATGCGACTAGAACCTTCCTTCCCCCTGCCTATAAGCTAATCCACATCGATAAAACCTATCACTCTGAACAGAGTCGTCTTTCATTATCGCGAACAACACCCGAGAGCCAAGTTTTGGTTAAAAAAACAATATCGCTTGATGACGCATCAATAATTGATGACAAGTGATCGCGATTGCAACAAATACCTGTTATATTCATAAAGAGAACCGAAATGTTGTTCGAAAAAGATTGGAAACGGTGCGGTCGTTTAGCAACGACTTCCTTTAACTTCGAATTCGCAGGTTTATTATGGCAGTATCAAACTACTAGGGGCTCCGTTCATAGATTTGGTTAGTATCATAATTATATAGAACTCGTTTTTACCCCACATGCCATTTATCAAGGCAAAGATTGTAATGACTTCCCTGGGCACGAGCAAATTTTAAGAACTTCATTCTGGAGTTGTGTCGTTCTATGGATAGTGTTCGCTAACAGAAACATTGGGTGTCTTTTAGCCTGGAGCACGATCTTAGCACGCTTCATTATGTTTAAAAAGAGAACATTTTACGATAATGGGCAGTTTTTAGTAGTGTCAAACCTGCCAATTGATGACCCTTTTCGAGTGTATCGGGGTTAATATGTATGCCAAGCTTTGCACTGCATACGACGAGCGCTCCTTTTTTTCTGAACCGGTCCACGTTTCCCTAGCAGCGTCCCGAAGTCCAAACAGGAAAAAAAAGTAAGGCAGATCTACGGGAATGACTCTCAGCATCCTCGGAACGCTGCTTAAGATGTGCTATCTCGGAAGCAACAGATTCAAGTTTACTTTGGATTTACAAATTGCAAGATCCGTTTCAATAGTTCCGGCACGTGATGCTAGAGCAGACGAGTCACTTGTACATTTTTGTTTGTTTGTTATTTCCTTGAATTGATCCTCAACAGCTGCCTGGCCTCCGTGTAACTGGATAACATAATATTCGACCTTAGTTAGTGTCTCTGACTGTACTATTGTGGCGAAGGGAACCATTACTTTTTGATCGTTCAGTGCTGTTTTATTTAAGTGTCATCGTTATGATATGAATGGAATAGAAAATGTGTTTTGCACGGAATTAATGTAATACAGGGCTATAAATTTTTTAATGCGTGAGATGTGCGTGCGTTAAGTGCATCAGCAGTGCACAGCATGTCGCGATGTAACCAGAATGCTCGTAAATATATTCCCGTATATGTCGATAACAACTTTTATGGTATAAGGTTCTCTCGTACTACTTTACATGACCAAGATGTGGTTGTGTCGTCTTTGTCCGACATGTTTATCCTTTCTTTGATTTCGACAAACACCAACACACTCTTCGTCCAGTAATAGTTTAGCTGGTTCTGCATTGAAAACACGGTCCTACAAAAAACTACTTCTATAAGAAGGCATTAGCATCTGTAGATAAATTAGTTAACAAATGTAGAGGCAGTTGTGCTGGCCTATTAAGATTTAAAAAAAAGCAATGAACTTGCAGAGTACTTGGCGTACTTAAAGAAAAATGAAAGCCGTTTACAACTCCCTGTAACACCGAATTAGAGCGCAGCTCTTGAGGAGGAGGAGGGGAAGGTACGGAGAGGAGGCTATGCAACTCCTCCTCTCCTGCTCGCCTCCCATTTAGGGGAAATTTTCCGCTAAAATTAGCGGGAAAATTTTTCCGCTAGCTTTAGCGGGGAAATTTTTCCGCTAGATTTAGCGGGGAAACTTTTTTCGCTAGATTTAGAAGGGAAAATTTCCCGCTAAGTTTAGCGGGGAAGTTTACCCATAATGGCACCGCGCGGTTCCGCCGACGGCGACGGTGACGCCGCTCAAGCCGGAAACGGGCGCCTAAGAGCTGCGCTCTAAAACAAATACCGACGCTTTCTTTTCTTGACGTCCAACTCACCATGTCTAATATTTTTAATTTGGCCAAGCCGAAGACGATAGCGTTTGGTGGGGTTGCGGCCGGAAGCATAAAGGAGAAGGAGCAACCGATGGTCACCGGCAGAGCCAGGTACAGGGGGTGAACTTGGAGTGCCACAGCCTGTAACGGAATGTGGTGTAAATCGCGTCGTTAAAGGAGCTATGCAACAATTTTCGTACTTTGCGCAAATACCGCTTAAAACGGATCCCTAACGTTAATGACCTATGAAACACGCGTTCGTTTTTCACCCCACGCAATAGAAGTCCCAGAAAAAAATTAAAGAAAAACGAGCAGCGTTCACCCCCTCAACTCGCAGCCAGAACAAGCGGCCACGTGATCTGGAGCCGATTATATGCCGCCAGTGTTGATCATAGCCACGCGCTGGGGTTGGCAAAGCGCAGGACACGCGCTGAGTTCCAGACATTGTTATTGCTCGGCTGTTGTCGTCGTTGCAGCAATTGGACACGGGTCACAACCCGAATGCTTCTCGAGCTAGCAATTGTCACGAGCCCAAGTCGAGTGCCCACGCAATGCTCGGGTCCAATCTATGAACCGCATTGAAATATCGTCACTTGGGTGTACTGCGATCCCCGAGTTACGTCATCAAATATTGCAAAGGAGAGATTGAATGAAAATGATCGATTTTGTCCTTGAAATTACACCTCAACAAAGGAGTTTTTTGGCCAATGGCGTTGCGTGTGAGTATCCTTGAGTCCTAGGTGTGCCAGTAAGCTCGTGTAGAGCGAAAAACATTCCAATTGAATATCGTTGCCAAGGTCCTTTTTAAGTCTTTTTTTTAATTAAAACAGTACGCGACTAAGTGATCTATTTTAGGTAAACCTAAAAGGTATTTGACAATAACATTTTTTTTTCAGACGTGCGAACTTCTTTGCTTTAGTGATAGTGTTTTTAAGTGATCGAACTGCTTCGAGGTCACTTAGACTGATAAAGGAAAAAGTTCTTAAGCTGAGGGAGACAGCCAGGCCTGGTTTTGTTTCTAGATGAAAGATTGGGAGTCACTACACTTCGATGGGGCATCACAACAAACGTAAAGACTTTGCTAGTAATAGCTGGAGAGATATGGGGTTTACAGCGAACCAATACAAAAGTACAGTTTTTCGTGCTTCACGGAAGAGGTGAACCATCCGTCAGCACTATTTTGAAGACTGGCGCCAGGAAAAAAGAAAGCTCCGCCTACTTTCTAATGCACTTCGGCACATTTGGCATTGCCTGAAACATGTATATGAAGCTTATCCTGTAGTTCGTATGTTACAATACATTACAGCAACCTGATGATTCGTGTATTGTTGGGTCGGAATAAACATCAGTATTAGAAGAAGAGGGATTGTTCATTCGGCTATATACAACAACAATCTCCGCAGTAACAATTTATTCCTTAAATAAATCAAGTTTTAATGAAACATATTTTCATATAGAATAAGGCATGAAGATGTTGACGAGCGAGTTGGAACAGATGTAGTGAATGCAGAAAACGAACAGAAGGACGTCCTTCTGTTGGTTTTGTGCTTTCTTACTGTTACAAATAAAGCATAGTTTAAATAAAAAGCAAATTGTTCTTAAACAATTCTGGGCAGCAGCAGTCCTGGCGCATAGCCGTAAATATAATTTTAGAAATATATAATTATGATTTTTGCTATTATGACGAGTGATACTCTTTCTCCACTTTGGTGAGTTTGGCGAGGACCATGAACGCGCGAATTTTCAAGTTGCGTTCAGGGCGGAGATAGTGAAAAATGTTTGAGACGTTCGCTGTCTTAAGTTATTTTTTGAGCACGTGTCATTAGTCAATAGAAAAGTATATGGAGGTTTCAAAATTCAACGGCCAACCAAACATACGCTTCATGGTTGGTTCGGCCAAGCGCTGTTTATTCTTGGTAAAATTAGCGCGATGGCAAGGGAGGAAGGACGCAGAGACAGGATAGAGCGCTACTCACAACTGGCCTTTAATTCTAAGTGTGAGAAAGGCAAAAAAAGAAGTACTGACAGTTGAAATAATTAAACACACGAATGAAAAAACATAAGAAATCGTCAGTGAAAGAAGGGGCGGGAGTGAAAGAGAAATATCAATAAGAAATAGTGAAAAAAAGGGGGTAAGAAAAAGGGGGTAACATCTAAGCCTGATGGCTGGCCACGCTGTGGCCAGCCCTTAAGTTTTCTATCTTGTGTTTGCGTTCTTCCTCTCTTGTCTTTGCGCTAATTTTATCAAGATCTATCGACAACTAGTCCACCAGATGATTTTAATGGACTGTATTCTTCTGATAATGTCCTACCATTTCACAGACGACGGGAAGAAGAATGGAGCTGACTGCCGTGTTGCTTGTGATCTCGGTGAACATGGAAGCAGCAAAGCACAGGATTAATGCCGTCAGGGCTGTCGGGAGCACTTCCAGGGACTTGAGGTTTTCAACCAATATTGACGACAGCCCGGATTCCTGCAAACAATAGTTTGTATTGTTTCTCAAAACCTCACCTCATTATTTGTGCAAACAGGAAGCGACTCACTTTAGAATTGTCTTTAATACAAACACAGTGCTCCACTAAGCAAGAATTAAAAATAAAAATAAATAAAAATCGTTCCCAGTACCTTCAGACGAGTAATTCTTCATTTGGAAGTTGATATCTTGCCTTTGGCGATTTCGCTTATGGTAACAGTTGTAGTTGCGAGCGTTTGATGATAGCTGTCACATAAGGTCCTGTTGTCGATTGCAAGTAGCCTGTCTCTTTTCCCCAGTGGTAGTAACGTTATTCCTAAAATGATTCAAGCTTTATGAATTGGGGCAAATCACTCGCTGTAGAATCGTCGCCGAGCGCCGGAATTCTTTTTCAGTTTCTTTGTGACAGAGCGTCACGCAGAACGGATGTATTTTAGAGTATTTTAGTATAGTGCCACTGATTTCTGAGCGCACAAATATCAAACACACCCTAGAACTCACAACTTAATTTTGTATTTCGTCTTTGTTTTATTTTTCGTTTGTTAAACCATACACACAATTGTCTGCAATCATCTGCTTGGGGAAAACAACAACAACAACAAAAATTGCACAACATTTTTGCAATTGTTTTTTGGTGGTCAGGTAAACTAAGTATTTTTCTGACAGGGTGAGAGAAAGTACTTACACATTTACCGTCAAGCCTATCGATATGTCCGGCCTCAATGATTTCCCTAGTCATTCGATTACCATGTCTGCTTCTGATAGTGCAACGTTGTAGTTGCACCGTCACTGCACACTTGCAATACCGGCGGTGTGGACATAGATGTCCCGATTTTACATTGGTAATGTTGTTGCTGTGTTCACATAGTCGATCATTGATACACCGTACAGTCTGCACGATGTATCTTTTTGCTCAGGAAAGGGGAAAGGAGTGCACCAATTTTTCTGAGCACTAAACAGAACTAATGCGGTGTTTCTTTTTTTTTTTTTTGTGCAGTTCTTAGCTATGTGCGAAGAAGTGTTCACTTGTTTAGATACGCTGGAGAGCTTGTTCGGAGCGGTGAACATCACTTCAGCATTGACCCCATTGGCTACTGTTTTGAGGCTATGGGAGAACTTGTGGATGTAGGGTACAACTAAAGGTCTAGTTGTCCTGTTTTGGGGTTTCGTTTTAATAGGTCCACCTTTTTTACTGCTTTGAAGAGGCTCACAAAGAACGCTCTTAGTAAGGGACTAAAAAAAAATTGGGTTGTGGGTAAATTCATATGTGCCTGCCTCAACGGGCGACTTATCTCTCAGCTGCAGATGATATATTTAGTCAAAGCTGTACAACCGCTAGCCTAGGGTCTATAACATGCATTACGCAGTGGTGATACATAACGGCACGCCGGTACGATGCTCATCCAGATCGAAACGGGCAGGAGTGGGGATTGAACCCAGAATGCTGGGTTCTGCAGCACGAGCTTTCGCTCCACATGCTCCGAGCTGGTGTGCGCTAGCCCACTCGGCCGCCAATTCCTCTTTTTTTCCCCAAAAAAAATTTTACAAAGTTGTAAAATGATCACATTGGTTGCCATACACCTATCATGTCAGTGAGCCCTGTTTGACAGGCGTGGACCGTGATTCGCACACAAATTCAAAATGTATCTCGCTCAATCATTTCTCTGTAGCGTCACATGCACCTGATGCAGCCACTGGCGCAGTGGCCCGGGAATTCTTATTTACCGCTGAGCCTTCAGAGCGCGGTTATGCAAACGCGTTCCAAATAGCGACCAACATTCAAGCCCTTGTTGCTCCGTCGTCTCAAGAAGGCTGCTCACGTACAGAAAGCCTTCACAAAAGTGTTGCCAGGCGGGCTTGGATCCCTTTCGGACCTCCAAGTGATCCGTCCTCGACCGCCACAGCGCATGTAGACCGAGGAGTGTCCTCAGCTCCCATGCCCTACTCTGCGCACTGTCGCCGAAAAGCAGAAACTTCGCGCTCTTCCACTCTACGTAGAGATCTATCTGCAGCACTGCTCGAAGTTCTGCCCCAAAAAGCTCCGCACTTGCACAGTACAAAAACACATGTTCAAGTGTTCTGGGAAACGGACACAACGCACAATTTGTTGACCACGGTTCAAAGAAACCTTTTTTAACCAACCACGTCTTGACCGGCAGTACTTCGAAATGGAAGCGTAAAAAAAATTCTTGACTGCCGTTCTGACAGGGTATCTATGTAAGCGACTAAATACATCTGCTTTATCCGCACATCTCGAAAAGCTGCGATACAGTGGGAGCGGTATGGGCAAATCAATTGTGTTCCAGTATAGAAATTTAGTTTAAACTTTCTGCAGGTACTCGACGGAAAAGCGGGCTTGAAAAAATTCCTTCGCCGCTGCTATTTCCTAGTAGAACTTCAGAACACGTGCCCGGAAGTCCCCAGTGTCTCCCTTGAGCCACGGCCCCAAAAAGCTTCCTCCCAGCTCTTTCAACGCAGAAATCACGAGAGGATTGCATTGATCGCGGAAAAATAGGAAACGCTGTACTTTCAGCTTCAAGGGATACTACAACGAAATTTCGGCGCTCATTTTTTTGTCTATATGTGTTCAAAAAAGCAGCATTACTTCGAACATACCAATATCTTGTTAAAAAAAGTCACGAAAAGGAATTTTAAAACGAATTAAACGATTAGCAAAGAGCACCTGGTGGATGTCGCTAACGCCTCGCTTGTAATGCCCGTCTGGGAACCTTGACAGCTAGTGACGGAGGTTGTCTCGCCTCCGGCCACGACGAGAGAAGAGTGGAAGGAGAAACTCCCCACTTCCCGAGAATGCCTTTTGTGTGTCGCAGAGCTCGCTATTGTCCCCCCACAAGATTACAGAAGATTAACCCGGCACTCAAAATTCGTACAAAAGCAGCCGCTCCGGTGGCAGGAACGACTAGGCCATGCTCTCGACGTCAGCCTCGCCGTAGCTTTGCTTGTCCTGAGACGACCTACGTCACGATTGCGTTGGATGTCACGTGATCTCCGCCGGGCCTTCTCCGGGCGCTTGCCAGAGTGGGCCGTTTATAACGAAAAATACAGCCACCAGGCTCAAAACACAAACGTGCGATTGTCATTTACGGATATTGTGGATCATATTCAACCTATTTTTGAATACGACGGGAATATATAAAATTTCGTTGAAGTATCCCTTTAAGTTCTACGTTTACAAGACCCAACCCTCCTTCCTTCTGGCTTACGAATAGGTTGTCACGCCTCGTACGTTCGAAACACGAGTCCCAGATAAACGTTGCGAAAAATCGATGAACCTTCGCCACGTCACTCTGGGAGCACGGCAACGCTTGTGTCGCGTACCAAACGGTCGTGAAAAAAAAAACAGAGTTGCAAATAAATGTGCGATTTAACAAAGAGAGTTCCCTGGCATGCCAGTCAAGCACCTTGCTTCTGAGGCGATTAATGTCCAAACCACCGCATCGGCCACTCAGTTGCTCTACGGTTAAGCTGAGCCCAAGATAGTTCGAAACGTTCGTCGTCCAGGTGACACCGAGGAATTGCTCCGGTTTCAAGTCCTAGTCTCCAAGCCAGGCTCCGACAGATTTGTCTGTGTTCATCGCCGCACCCGAGACGCTGCAAAAGTCTGCGATGTGTTGGGTTACAGCACGCACTTGCGTCCTTGACGAGCACAACACCGTGACGTCGTCCGCGAAGGCGAGCACTTTAAACGTACCCGACGCTAGGGATACCCCACGAATGCTCGCGTCACCGATAATGGCCCTGCACAGCGGTTGCAGGTACAATGCGAACAGAAAAGGCGACATCGGGCAGCCCTGTCGCACGGATCGGGTAACTGCGATGGGAGCCGTCCTGTTGCCTGTTGCCGTCGACCAGGAGCCGCGCCGTGATGTCACGGTAGCACAGCTGCACATACCGTAGCAGTCGCGCCCCGATCCTACACTCCTCTATGAGCCGGAAGTGGAACGAATGGCGGACCCGGTCGAAGGCTTTGCGCAGATTTACTTGAAGCGCAGCCACGGGACGCTTCAACACCAGCGCTGCCTCGCACACGATTCGCATCGCGTGCAGGTTGGTGCTGATGGCCCGTCCCTTGATGCCATAGGCCTGGTACTCTCCGACGACGTCCCGTAGATCCCACTCCAGCCGCTTGGCCAGAATCTTGGCTAGGATTTTATAGTCGCTTGTTAGCAGACTGATGGGCCGAAAATGGTCGATCTTCGGGGTACCCTTTGAGCTTTTCTTCTGGATGAGCACCGTTACCGCCTGTCGCATGGATGCCGGCAGCAGTCCTCGCTTTAGCACTTCGGCGTACACGTCTGATAAGATAGGACACAGCTGGGCTGAGAACGTCTTGTAGACTTGGCTACCGAGCCCGTCCACTCCTGGCGACTTGCGCGGAGCTAATTCCTTGATGGCTTCCTCGACCTTTGATGCCGTTATTTTCCGGTTCATTTGTTTTCGGACCTTTGGGGATATCTCGGGCAGCGCCACTCCAGTCGTTTGGAGAACGCCGTCGTCCTCCACTCTCGTGAACAGGTCGGTGTAGGCCTGCAGAAACGCGTTTCGATTTTTTCTTGCCCGGTAACCTCGACGTCACCTACTTGGAGCTTCACGATCTTGTTGCGTGAAGCGTGCTGGCGTTCCTTCGTCTTGAATATTTTTCTCGGCTCTTGATCTCTCTCGAGGAACAGCGTTCTGCTTCGGACCATGGCACCGCGGTACTCCGTCTCAAGAACCTCCAGAATACTGCCTTTGCAATCGCGGATATCTTGAGTGAAGAGTCCCGGGGAACGATTTTCCTCTGCGATGAGGATTTCCAGGGTTTTTGTCAAGCGGCGCTTATCCGCCCTTTTGCGCGCCGCTTTTTCCTGACTGTGCCGAAACGCTTTGAGCTTGACGTCCTCTTTCAGCTCCTCCCAGGTTACCGCGTTCATGGGCGCACCTCCCGTTTTGCCCTCGAGAAAGTCCTTTATCTGCGTACGCAGTTGTTCCTCGCTCGATGAGGTTTTCGTTTAGCTTCCATGCCGCTCCACCAAGAGGACTTCCGGGTTCGCGGCACGGGTCTGCCCAGCCTTACCGTGACCAGAGAGTGGTCCGAGAACGCCAAGAACGGCACGGGTCTGCCCAGCCTTACCGTGACCAGAGCGTGGTCCGAGAACACGGGCGTCATTGCTAAAAATTCTCCCGAGAGGTAGATACAATCTAGTCGAGCATGGCAATTTCCATGTGAATGAGGGTACGTCGGGTCGACTGTTTTCTCGTTGTTCTTAGAATCTACCAGGTCGAAGTCGCGGAGCAGTTTTCGCTGTTCCACCCGGCTGACGTCCGCTTTCAGCCGCTTCGAGCAATCCCTCTCGGCCATCACAGAATTAAAATCGCCAGCGATAATCGTTCGACAAGGTGTGTCGAGATACTGGCGAAACTTTTTTAAAGGTCCCGCCGCTCAGTCGCGTCATTAGGTGCATACACAGATACAAGCTTGTAAAGCTGTCCGCAGTGCAGCATTTCTACAGCACACCCGTCTATTCCTGTCTCCCTCCCACTCGGGGCAGATTACGATGCCTCTCTTCTTGCGAATCATTATCGTCGTTCCTCCGATCTGTCCAAATGCCCTGGACAGGCAGACGAGGAAGTGACGATCAGAAAAGCGTGTCAACTCCTGGTCTCTTGCAAAAAAGCGACATCAACCCGGTCGTGCAGAATAGTGTCCAGCACCCAATGCTTTCTTCTTCTCGCCACAAGACTTACACAGTTGAGGGTCGCAAACTTGAGGGGTTGCATTTTGTGTGGAAAAGGGGGTGCTGGCGAAGTCATGCGACGAGGACACTTTCGAGCGATGAGCAGGGAGCAAAGAGAAAAACAAAAAAGAAGTGACCTACGGAGGGGCTGGCCTGCGTCGCTCTTCCGTCGGGATGCGCGGCTTCGGGTTAAAGCGCTCCCTCCGTGTGGTGTTCTTGTGCCACTTTAACTCGGAGCGTGCTGATGCTTCCCCTGGCCGCATGGTGGTTTTAGTGGCTTTGTAATTTGCTGGACGTATTACGCGGGTCACAGAGTTTTTCATCACAAATTTTTCTTAGAGTAGTCCTTTTAGAGCGCAGCTCTTAAGCGCCCGTTTCCGCGGATAGCGGCGTCGCCCCGCTAAATTTAGCGGAAATTGAATTGGTGTTGAGGTAACGTGACGGCAATTTTTCCGCTAAATCTAGCAGAGAAACTGAATTTGTTCATGGGTAGCGTGAAACCGACATCATGTGACGTCATTTTTCCCGCTAAATTTAGCGAGGAAACTCATGTGGTGTTGAGGTCATGTGACGCTATTTTCCCCGCTAAATTTAGCGGGGAAACTGAATTGGTGTTCAGGTCACGGCGTCAATTTTCCAGCTACATTTAGCGGCGAAATTGTGGCAGGAGGGGAGGTTATGGAGGAGGATGAGGAAGGGGGACGAGGGGAAAGGAATCGGAGGAGGGGAGGGTACGGAGGAGGAGGAATATACCCTCCGCTCCGTACCCTCCCCTCCTCCTTTTCAAGAGCTGTGCTCTAGTTTCGCATTACCGAGATGTGTAAACGACTCTTATTTTTTATAAACTGTGCCGGCGCATAAGATTTTTTTTTTTACAAAGCACATGAAAACACACTGCAGTTTCCGGAAGTAAGAAGCAAACGACGAGGTACAGATCACATTGGCACTAAAATATGAAACTGAGACAAGATTTTGAGTGCCCTTGAATGTCATGCTGAGGGCCCTTGCACAGGCTGCAATCTAAAAATCCACGCGTAATTTCTTGCTTTCTATCGGCGAATTCGGATGCTCGCCTCTCTCATCTGACCTTGATTCAAAAGAATCAAGGTCAGATGAAAGAGCCGAGCACTGTGAAGGTACTGTGAATACGGCGGAAGATGAGGGTACGCGACGTTCCAAATTAACCACCATAGGTGCCCACGAGTGAAATGGGTGAGTGTAACTTTATTCGAATAATCATACGGTGTATCCGACCAACAATTGATCCGATTATTTTTCATACAGTTCTTCCTTCCCTTCGGACAACTCACCTTAGATGCCTCGGCGAGGCACATGCCTCCGCCGATGAGAATGGCGATCCCCCACTGCGCCTTTTCGTTGGCCTCTTCCCAGGTCAAAAGAGGAGGACTGGTTGAGGGACTTCTGGGGTTCTTTGGTATTATGAAGAGTAAGAAGGTAATGGCCATGGCGGGAACCGTTGGTTTAATCATCCTGCGGTGAGGGTGTAAAGCCCGAAACACTTTTGAGATGATCTTTAGTTTCCCGTAAACGATATCGCTCCGTTTGCCCCGAAACATTCCAGTATGGCCAACCTGCCTTTGGGTTATGGGATTCAACATGAATGAAAGTTCGTACACTCCTTCGAGCACTTCGTAATGGCATCCATATTTAGACATCCGCCTCAATTCTGTATCACGCGTAGCCGACATTTTTATTCTAAACATGTGACGTAAAGGCAAGGAAACTAAGTGTTTGTTTCGTTGGAAAGCATTTAATCAAGATAATTCTGTGTTATAAAATACGGTTGTCGGATCGGCCTACTTTTCAAATAAACGAAGTAATCATGCGACATTAATCGGTAAAATGCACACAGCAGGTAATTTTAAGAAAAGGTCAAACTACGCTAATATCGCACGAATATAAATTAGAATGCTCACACGTTAGCTTGTACTGTTGCCGACTATCTTGGAAGTAATATATAATTCAGGAAATTCCAGGTAAGTTAACAAGAGATAAACGCAGAGACTTCTCCCTTTGAATCGGCTATACTCGAGTGAATCGGCTATGCTCGAGTGAATCGGCTATGCTCGAGGCAACGCAATTACTGAAAAAAAGCAAAAAGAATGGTCTGTGAAAAATTGACAGACACCGGCTGGGATGTCCCTTTTGCAACCGAACTTATAACAGGAACGTTGCAAAGCTATTTTCGGTAATTATTGATTGAAACCAAGACATATTATTTAATAATTGGTAAACAAAGTAAACAACCGATAATCAGATATATATTTTTAATTATCTTAAATATGTCGGCTACAGGGATTTGAAATTAAATATTGAGTTTACCGCTAGGTAAGGCCCCCCCCCCCCCCCCCCCCCCCCCCCCCGGGCCTATGCCTCATACGTTAATGAAAAGTACCCGGGGAAAAAAACTGAAAGCAAAATAACATCTTACAGAAGGCCATTCCCTTTTTACATCAAGCGTTGATGGGGAAGTCCATCAGTAGAAGCTTAAGGTGTGTCCTTTTTTTTTTTTAGTATTTTATTGCGCGCACCACTTACTTTGCGTATGGGAAAAGCTCCACCCAGCCGGTGAATATTTGTGGTTTTAGTGTGAACCACAGGATAATCATCGTAATCATCAAGGTCAAAACTGCGGTTTCAGGAAAACTGAAAGGATAAGGAGAAAATATTTCGGCAAGGGATAAGGACCGCAACAATTCAACACGAAAGATAATGGGTGCAGGAATATTACTACACAACAGCCTAACAAATGACATGCCTGAAGGATCCAAGCTCTTTGTATCTCCTTAAAATCTCTTCCCTAATTCGTTCTTCCAATGCGTCAGCAGACTTGTCCCGGCTGTAATGTAATAAGCGCAATTAGTCATTTCTCGAAGAAAGCAAATAGAACATCTGTATTTCGGAAATGAAACGTTGTTTCTTCACTACTCACAGAGCGCTCCTCGCGGTCCACTGTAGATAAATCCATGCCAGTAGAACACACAAAATCATGGTCGGTACATTGTACAGCATCCACGTTGCAAATGTCAGCTCCGTTGACATTGGAAATAACCTGAAATAGGTATAGGATTTTTTTTGCGTAATTGTTATTCAGTGAATTGTTTCAGTGCGCAGAACATAAACGTAGACTCTCAAAAGCCCATGCACCAATGCTGCCCCTCGATGTACTCAAAACGCTCATCACTAGCCTCTATATTCACTCATCCTAACCAATGAGAAGGAGAACGGTACCGTGCATCAATTGTTACGCAACTCGATTGGCAAAGAGGCACCCATACCCCTTTTGCCAACCAGACCCAGTGAAGATTGGTGCACGCTGACGATCGACGATTGTATTTGTCAAACAGACTAAAAAAAGTAAACATAAAAACTGCAAAAAAAGAAGAAACAAGTCGATGATAAAGATTGTCATGTTTGGCAGTGGCGACATCTCAAGGTTACTTACAGAAAGTGCAATTTGTTCCAGCTACGTAGTTAACTCGCTATAAGTTATTTTTAGTGACATATAAAGACATAAATCTGGTTACCCTAAGTGAATTATTCTACAATCCAGAAAGAAGACTTCTTTTTAATTCAGAAAAAAAAAAGATTCTAATGCGGACGAAGATTTATTTAATTTTGTCGGCTCTTATTCGTTCGTGCATATCTACACATGATCGGTAGGGATCTGCAAACTAATAGCAGACAACAAAAAAAAAACAAAAAAAAAAACAAACAGATAATTCTTTAGTTTATAATCGACTTTCGTTCACCACACTAAATCAACGCCTCCTAGATAAGAACGCCTAAGTGCTGAATTTTTCTACGTCACTAAGGAAGGCCACCGAAGAGCAGAGATGGGGTACGACTACAGCGTCCGTGTTCGGCTAAGAGTCGTATCTAATCAGTGAGAACAGGACCCCTAGCCGAGCACTGACGCCCTAGTTGTGTCCAAACTCTGCCTCATGGTGGCCCTTTTTCGTGACGCATTCAAGCACTTGAGCTTTCTTATCTGGGAGGTGTTGACTACGTTCACTTGCCTTCTATATACAAAAATAATATCATAATGGTTTATGCATTTTGAGGCCATCAGTATCTATCGCGATAAACCTCCACGTTGCTAGCCTCTACTAGAGCGTTGTCAGCGTTTTTGTTTTTAGCACTCCACCTGGGGGCGAGCTCATGTTATGTTATTGCAGAGAATGAAAGTGGTGCAAAGTACGAACGTGCTAATACAGGAAAGAAAAAATTTACGGCCACCGTTTTTGCTTTACTTTTAAGATTTTAACACCTCTCAGTTGAGCTCTAAAAATATAGATATAAAGCTCTTTGTACTCAGCAAATAAGTTTCTTCAGTACACCCCTTATGGGAATCGGTCCACTCGTCACAATTCTTTTCGTCACCGGAAAACTCGTCACAGGAAAACTGGTCGCACCGGCCCTCTCGTACCAGGTCCTTTCGTCGCAGGAACACTCGTCAAGGGGGGCCTCACTGGAACACTCGTTGCAAGGCTTACCCCGTATCAGAGTGAATATGTTTGACCTTGTTTTACAGAAATGGACTGCGGTCCCCTCGTGCAGCAAACTTCTTTTTCCCCTTTTCCTTGTGTATACAAAGGGAAAGGGTATACCTGCGTACCCGCGTGTAACAAACGCAGCCTGACCTGCGCTTCCTTAGAACTAGAATAGCCATGCTTAGACTAGTCATGCTTTTTTTAATAAAAGAACTGCGAACCCCGATTTTAATTATTTCCGCATAACTGAACGTGAACGCGGGTTATAAAAACGCTGCACTCTGTACAAATTTCACGTCTTTGCTAGGGGCACGGAGAGTATGAGAGTAACGAAAACTCAGCGTGGGGCTTTGCTGCTATTCTACGAGGGGTTTTCCTATACAGTCAGCAGAAGATACCGGTCTAGTATTTACTGGGTATGTCGGGATCGTACTATCTGCAAAGAAACGATAACTACTGACGTGTCCATTAATGTAGTAGTGGCCGTAACTTCTACTCACACTCATGCTGGGGATCCAACTGCGACCAACATACTGAAAGTCCGTCAGGGCACGAAGAGAAAAGCAGGTAATATATTAAGTCTTTTTGTATTTTGTGAAGTGTCAGTGTAGTTTCTAAACTGGTTCGTTGTGTGCTATTTTATTGCAGAGAATGAAAGTGACCCACCACATCGGATCCTACTTGAAACTGCCGCTACTGTCAGTGAGCATACGGCTCCCCGGATGCCTTCGCCAAGCACGCTGAAACGTACCATTCGGAAGCAGAGACAAGCACACCAAATCCTGACGTTCTCCCGAAACTCCCAGAAGACATAATTATACCAGACAACGGAATTCAAGTCTTTGTACGATAAATTGCTATCCAATTCGTCAATTTAGAGCAATACGTTTTCCATCTTTTCTAGGTGTCAGGGCTACAGGACAAGCCCTCCCTTGCTCGTGAGGGCGGTTCTGGAGACAAGGACCGTCCTTCGGTTTTCGGCACTGCGAAAATTTTTTACCGCCTCTCTAGTACGAGGGCGTGGTTCATGGACGGGACTTTCAAGGTGACGCCGTCGCTATTCTACCGAAGTGTACACGGTGCATGGGCTGAAACCATTCTGCTGTGATCCGGCTTCTGTACACTTTGCTTCCGAACAAGTAGGAACCTACTGGCTGTAAGCTTCGTTGTGGATGTTGTATGGTTTGAGTTTTCGTATGTCGCAATCTGTAACACCACTTTCATTTTGTTTCCAGAGTTTTTTGGATGCTCTCCGGCTTTATGTCAAGTGTGGAAGTCGAGGTAATCTACTGTGACTTCGAGGCGGCCATGATCGCAGCGTGTCGCAGGCTTTTCTCTCAAGCGAGGGTTCAAGGATGTTTCTTTCATCTGTGCCAATAGGTGTACCGGAAGCTGTGCAAGTAGGGCATGCAAGCGCGCTACTGCCAAGACGAAGCTGTTTTTCATCAGGTAACTACGTCCTTTCCTTTAAGCTTGGAAGTGAGCCACAATCACAATGATACTCTAATACTTTATACGAGTCGCCATGTCATAAAGCCTCCCAGAAAAATACATTCCTCTTTTGGAACGTCATATGCTGTAGCAAAATTTCACAAATTCATAGTATTACCAATCCCGATCACCAGAACGAACTTTAAACGCCTAATTTCTCATTCGTTTATTAGCTCTTCTACGCGTTCTATTACTTCTCTCATTTAATCAGTACGGTTCGTTCATGTGCATAATTAGATTATTATCTTATAGCATACAAATTGTGCATAAACAGCCAGTTCCGTCGCTGCCTCTTTTCTTCCCGTGCCAAAACAAAAGAAGGTTTAAAAATACATATCACAGAATAACAAATGTGCGTGTCAAGATAATACAATATTCCATCGACGTATATGCCAGTACGTATTGTCTTTTCTACATGCTTCCCAACCTCTGGAGCTTCCTGAGGTGTCTGAAAGATGAACAAGCACTACACGGGCTGAAGATGGCCCGCGTCTCGCACACGGGATAACCACCGCCGCGTCTCGCACAGAAATATAAAGATGTGAATTAGAGCATAACTAGAGTTCTAAAGGCACACTTCACCGGACCTCCTTTCTGCATGCTTTCGTGTAAGCTCAATAAACTTGTATTTGTCATTTGCTGTTTCTTAACCGTGTTGTGGCATCTTGTTACATTTATTTCAATTTCAGCGCTATGTTTTGATCACTACTACCAACAAGGTAAGTTAAAGAATTTATAGGAATAAACAGAAGTAAATTAGTAGTTCTACAGTCAAAGTCCACGCCGTGACACGAGTGTTCCCTGTGACGATTATTCCGGCGTGACGACAATTCCTCGTAAGAGATGCCCTATGGCGAGTTGGCCTCCTTGACGAGTTCAGCCATGACCAGTTGACCTGTGACAACCGGGCTTGTGACGAGTTCTCCTAGGCCCGCCTGGAACGACCTTGCTGGCCAAGCCTAGCGAACTGATAAGAAACGCTCAAAGAGAACAAAGAACACGACCATCTTCACACTGAAACCTAACTTTCCGCAAATGTATTTCAATGCTACACTAAACAACAATAAAAACAAAAATCCGCACACACAAACAAGGCAAGCACCAAAAGAATTGTAAACGCAGGAATGCCTTGGCACTGTCAGCAAGGTATATGGGAGCCTGGCTTATACAGTTGCCAATTGACTTGATTCTAATTGCCTCTCTTAAAACTCGTTCGCATACATGTCAAGTTTTAATTACTTTCATTAGACGCGTGACGTCGTTTTACGTTGAGCGTTGTGGGTTGTGACGTCATGACCCAATCGACCAATCATGATTTTCCCGTCTCGCCGACGCCGACGCTGACTGTTCTGCCACACAAGCGCCTTAACACTCTCGCATTAAGAGACGCACAATTTCAAATCTCGGTTTGTCACGTGAGTCAGCTGAAATATAGTGCAACGTCTCACGGCGATGTTCTTCCCCGTTCAGAATTATGACTGACGTCGGAGTGTCCTTGATAACTTAATAATTAGGTTTTAGGTGTGCGTGAATAGTGGTTCGAATCGAATAGCAGTATCATACCTAGCTTCTGCACTGCTGAAACAACCGGCCGTTTTGAATTTCCCTTTCATTGTCAAGGCCATTAATGACGCAGCGCTATTCAAAACGAACCAGTATTCGCACAACCCAGTAATTAACCGATGAAAAGGCTTACTCTTCAAAGAGTCCCTTGAGCACAAGATTGGGGGCTGTTCCAATCAGTGACCCGGTTCCACCGATGTTGGCGGCGTATGCCACTGAGAGCAACATCGTCTTTCGCATCAGAACCTTCCCGGCATCTTCGCTAAATAAGAAAGTGAAAAGAAATTGCTCAGTATAAAAATAAAAGCGGAGCAAAGCGTGTTTAAGAAAAGCTAAACCTTCCTGCGGGGCTTGTCGCATTCAGTGTTTGGAACGCAATGTCATAAAACGCAACGATCGTACAAGAAATTATACACTACACGTTTAAATTTTTAAAGCAGTTTAGATGGGTTGCCCAGCGTCGTTACCTTTTCCTAAACGGCTCGTAATGAATCAGCCGTAGGATACAGTTAACAGTAACGCCACGTCGGCGTTTTTTGTTTACCCCGACCTAGTAATTTTGGATCCAGTGTATCTCTTGTGCAAGATAAAACTTATAAAGCGGCGAGCACTAGTGTGCTCGCCCCTGCTCGCTCAGCGCTTTCCAAGCTTCGGCATTGCGCCTCTTGGTGCGCTGAAAGCTATTACCGCTTAAAGGGGCGGTGCAATGATTTTAACACTGAACGAATGTGCAGCTTGTATTTTTTATATTTTTTACTTCGGCATAAGTAAGAGAAAAAGTGCCACCATACCCCAAAATACCTCTATTTCGCTGCGTAATCGCAAAATAAAAAACGCTTTTTTTCTCAACCTGCGGCCACATGGTGGCCGCAAATGGAACCTGTGGTGTGACGTCATTCGGAGTGGTTTTTGTAAGTGATAGTGTTAGGCAATTATAAGCTTGATTTAAGGTTAAGTTTAAAAAATCTTGTTGTTTAGGCATGCAGAAACGCTACAAAAGCCTGATATTGCCGCTAAAAGGGTATGCATTATTTGTGGCGCCACCTACCGCAAGTCAACAAAACCTGCCGTCGCCGTCATCCGTCGACGCTCGAGGCGCCTACGGCGGCTACACGAGCAAACCGGACGTTTTGTCTTTCCCTCGCTCGACGGAGTGCGTTGGTCGTGGTCCGTAGTATCGTGGTATCGTTATTGTTCCTGGTGTCTCGACCTCGACTTCGACTTCGACTGCCCGCCGCGTCGACTGCCCGCCGCACAAGTCCAACTGACTTACTATACGCAAGCATCTTGCGCTCGACGCTGCTCAGACCGTCCGCCCATGCCGCCATGTTGGTCAGGAATCGGCGGGAGAGCGGGAGAGCGGCGAGCCTGGCGAGCCGGCGAGCGCTGGGGAAACGGAAGCCAGAAGAACCCAACCGGAAACCAACGTCACTCCGAATGACGTCGCAGGCGAAGCTGGTGCCGCTTCAATGTTGAGTTGAGGGGTGCCAGAGATATCAATTTTTTTCATTTTTTTTAATGAAAACTAGGGCAAGCAGGAAAGAATAGTTTTCGGTCCTTCGCTTTATATGTGGCCGGGATCAATTCCCGCAATTAATTAGCCAATGTCCGCAAATTGTTGCACCGCCCCTTTAAAGCTCCTTTATGTTTCAAAAGTAGCGTAAGGTGCGTCGATGCACGAGGCACGTGCAACGTACAGCCCTTGGGAAGATCATGGCGGCACAGCGCAGCACTGAGCTAGATTTCAGACGCCATGAATTTCCCAGAAGTGGCGCGCGGCACGTGCCTCGAGCATTTCTACAACAATGAATGGCGCCACTTTTCTCGGGATAGAGGGGCTTCATCACCGCTATCGGTGCTCGCTCGACGCGTGCGGCGCGAGGAAGCTCGCCGCTAGTAGCAGCTTGCGCGCGCGCTCAGCCAGCGCGCGCTTTAGCTGCTCCTAGCAGCGAGCTCTCTCCAGACTCCCGCCGCACGCGACGAGCTCCCTCGCGCCGCACGCGACGAGCTAGCAAAGATAGCGGTGTTAGAGTGCCTTCATAAGCGGTGTTAGCTTTCAGCGCACCAAGAGGTGCAATGCCCAAGCTTGAGAAGCGCCGAGCGAGGGGCAGTAGTTGCCTCACCGGCGGGTAGAGGGCGCTGACGAACTCGGCGCCATTAGGTTGCTTCGATTTGGTTGGTTTCGATTGCAAAGTGAACGCGGCTATGTTGCTGTTTTACGTTGTTTTTGCTTAATTTTGTGATTCGATTATTTTTTGGTAGCACACAACCAATGAAACAGCAGTATTGAGCCACTTTGATGACTACGAGGTGTATTTTAGCTTAAATTGTGGGCTTTTCTTACCAACTCCTTTGATGTATCTGATTATGGTCGGTTGCGAAACGCCTGACTGGAGTACAAGGAAGATTACCATCGTGTATGGCCGTACCCAATGACACCAGTTTCCAGAAAAAACAAGCTAATGAAGAGAGTAACATGTGAATATAAAGAAGCATATCGACAGCTTGATTAGCAATGTGCTGAATCGGCCAGAACAGATGAACTCGCCAGTTTACAACTCACTGTTTGGTGTTCGTAGGCACCCCACCTTTGGTGAGCTTTGCAGAGTAAAAACGTATCGTGTAATGACGCAGATAATTGATATAAGCAAATAATATCGTCTCGGCCTCTTTTTTTTAATATTTAGTACTAGAGCATATTTTGACAGGCCGAGTAGGAAAGTTTCTTAAATTATCAACCCTGCTAAAGTACTCATAAGCAGCATTTTGCGATATTTGCCCTAGGAAATACATTTTCTTTATATGAACATTTGCTTACTCAAGATATGATATAAGTGACAGGCCCGTCAAATTAAATCCGGCGTTTGTATTCCGTAAAATTGGCCAAATAAAATTAAAGGGCGCAGGAGGAGAAATACCTTGGAACGTTTGGCTGAATGCTAGCGCTTATCACCACGTCACAGACCTGTGTGAACAAATATTTATTTCTTAGAACAAATTCGCTTTATAAATTTCGGCGTCGCCAGCCACAAAGAGTAAACCTCTATTCGCCATCGACAATCCTGGACTCAAATAACTGTTATTTCAGACGGCTCTTTTTTTTTTTCGGCGTCAATTATTGCGGATTTTAGATACCAACAAAATATGAAACAACGTAAGCAACAAAAGAAAAAAAAAAAAAAAAGAGCGCGTCGTCTATATTGCGCATGCGCCGAACCCAAACCGCGTTTTGGATTTGCAAACAGAAACGACGTTATTTCTTTGTGCACGCTATTCTAAAACTTGCTACTGTTGAGTGTGTGTGGCAGTTTCTTACGCGGGAGGTCCCAACCTTTGTGTTAAGTAAATTAAGTGGAGGGCATTGATTATCTAAATGGAATCAATAAATCATTTAATTGACTGTCTAAATGGAACCGAGCATGGTATACAATAGCTTAAACTTCATAAGTAAACCGACCAACCGAATGTCTACATCGCAAAACAAAAACGAGATGTAGAACCTCATACACATGTAGGTGTGATCTTATGAGCAAACAAATCGCTTGATTTTGACGTACCATTACTTTTAGCGTCAGATAAAATACAAGTTAAACGTTCATTGTCTTTCTCCTCCGCGAATTTCCTCACATAATCAAAAGAAACTGTTTTTGATATATTATGAATACAAGAAACGATACTTTCGGGAGATACAGATAGTCTCCCATGTGCTGACTATGCTTGACGCCTTGCGATCCGAAATGCACGATATAAATATACGCGCTCCTTACTGAGAATGTTCCGCCACTATTAGTAAACAAACCTCAGGAGTCGTCGAGTAGACGTATCGGACTACAGTTTCTGAAGTAAGGCAAGAAAGCGCGGTGAAACGCGACGAAAAACACGAATACAACGTATCTGCCAAGGCGCGGAGGGGAGAGCGGAGCAGCAAGTTGAAGCAACGTAATGGCTGCCGTGTCACATGACTCCAAGATGGCAGCGCCCATGCGGAGGAGGTTGAAAAGGTCTATACACATCGGGGTAGGCCGCGCACCCTCGCCCCTAGGCTAAGTTCAGGGCGGCGCAGCCTGTACCGCGAGCCACGCGCTCCTCTGCTCGTATTTCACTTTTCCCTGAAAGTACCTAGTTCAATTTGAGATATAACTTTTTGTGATATATGAGGTACACCCTAAGAATAATAACCGACCAACTGCAAAACTTCATGACGGAACTGCTTTTAAAAATGCTCGTCGTAATATTTCGTGCTTTGTGGAACCACGATTCAGTGTTTATTTTGCCATTATGTTATCTGCACTTTATTGTTTTTATTCTATTTTCGCACGACCTTGATGGTAAATAAAAATAATAAGTTTAGATCAGTTGAAAATATGACTTACGTATTGAATCATGATCCAAGCAAGCTTGTCTCCCTGGCAATGCGCTCTAACTTCGACCTGTACAAAATGCTGCGGATTTTGAGTTATATTGTAACCATTTATTTTTTCATTAGGCCGCTGTGAGAAAATACGGCGTTTCCCCATCCTTAACTGATACTGACTACAGTTTTCTATGAGATTAATCTATAAATGCGAAAGTTTGAAACATAATTTACTCAGTGTCTATTTCAGGATACTTCGGCTTCTCCAAATGACCAGCATTCAGTGCGGGGTCTGCAACGTCCTGGGTATTTAAGGCTTCGTGGTCGGGATCTGAAAGGCATGCCACAACATCCAGCTATCTTAAGCTCGTCTTTATTTTCCGGACCTTTCGGTCTACGCACGAGAGGAAACATAAAAACATATAGTAAATACATAATCACGCACTCTGTGCGGGTAAAGCGTGCGCAGGCAACTTGAAGTGCCCGCTCATACATTTTACACGCAGTACTTAATTAAAAAAAGTGTTGATTGAACTTCGAACAGCTCAGGGCAGCAACAACTGACAAGTTCTTCTAGCAGAGCGTTCCACTCAATTGTTGTTCTGCAGAAAAATTAATATTTGAACACATCAATCGTGTACCGATACGCTGCAATTGATTTGATGTTGCTCGTTCTTCGGGAACGAGCTGTTGAACGCAACAGATACTTTTTTCAGAATCAACTTAGTCCGTTTACCATAATGGATAATTCTTTCAATCTACAAATTCTTCTTCTGTTTTCCAGGCAATTCAGCTGCGCCTCAGCTCCCAATGCAGCAACAGACGACGTACGCCTATATTCCGAGAAAAAAAAATTGTAGGGCAAGGTTCTCATTTCTTTCTATTTGTGTGACCCGCTTTTCCCTGTGGGGGTCCCATGCGTAACTTGGGTATTCTAATATCGGAGTAAGATACGGTTTATATGCAGTTAATCTAACATCTTCATTCGCACGTCTCATGTGCCTTCTAAGAAATGATAGTGTTTGATACGCCCTTGCACATATACAGTCCACAGAACTATTCCAGTGTAACGCATTGCTAAAAATCTCACCTAGATACTTAAATTCACCTACTTCTGTAAGTTCTCTGCTCCCTAAACACCCTCTTAATAAAATTAATAGCCATGCCCCATGAGCTGATTACAACCAAAGACGGATTTAGTAACTCTTGATCGCGAGCTGCAGTAATTTTAGAAAAGAGCATGCAGTCATCCGCGAAAAGTTTAACAAGTACCAAAGAAGGTAGATTCGACGCCATGCCATTATTATAAACTAAAAATAAGAGAGGTCCTAGAACCGAAGCTTGGGGTACTCCTGAATAGACTGCCAATGGGGAAGCGCATAGATTGTTATAACTCACATATTGCGTTCGGTCACTTAAATAAGAACGTATTTAAATTAACAAACTCCAATGCAGTCCGAATTTACGTAGCTTTTAAAGCAATTTGTCACGCGGGACATAGTCAAGGGCCTTTAAAAAATTCATGCATATTACATAACCTTGACCACGTTCATTTATAACAGACGCAAACTCCTGCGTACATTCAAGTATCTGCGTGACCGTTGATAGACCCTGCCCAAACCCGTGCTGATGCTTATGCAGTAAGTTATTTTGTCACAAGTAATGAATAATATGTTTCGATAAAATATGTTCTAGGAGTTTAGAACATGTCACTGTTAAAAATATAGGACGATCATTTTCAGTTGCCATCTTGTTCCCAGAATCGTAAATTGGCACAACTTTCCAACATAACCAATCTGCCGGTAAATTGCCCTGCCGAAGAGAAGCTTGAAAAATTACAATTAAGTACCGGGACACAGCTACTCTGCGTATAGTCTTAGAAACGCATTCGGAATATTGTCTGGGACAGATGCCTTTTTTTATTGTATACGTTCAAAAGTAAGTTAACTATACCACTCTCCGACAGAACGAGATCCGGCATTTCTGGCTGATAAGAAACATAGGCAAAGTCTTCCGATGGGTTACGTGACACAGAAAAAACGGACTGAAAATATGTTAAAATCAGCTGCAATTTGAAGGGGACAAGAAATAGCTTAATTATTAACTTTGATTTGCGAAGTCACCTTCTTAAGTGATGGGAAGCGCCAAACGTTTTGTGGGAATTCCTTCAAGAACCGCAAGAGTGCATTGTCATAGTAGCTTTCTCTAGCTTGTGTGGTAAGATGCTTTAGCTTCCGCCCTAAATCGGCTATCTCCGTGGAAGTTTTCACTCGGCATAAGAACTTTGGCGTTTTATTTTTTGTTTTAATTGTAGGATTTGCCTCGTAATCCAAGGATGGACACCCTTTGCTCTCACGTCTCTCGACGCGAAAGAAATGATGTACACAGTGGGATACAATATTCTTAAATTTTTCCCATAGCTCACTGACGTAAGGAAGTTGAATAAAATCATAAAAAATGTCATTCTGGCTAGTCAAAAACAGAAAAATCAACGGAGTGTTGAAAATCTCGAACCACTTTTCCCGGACGAATGCTTTGTGACGCCGGTTTAGAAAGTTGGATATTGAATACGAGCATTTTATGATCAGAGAACCGGTCAATACATCGACCTCATCAGCTTCGATCGCATTACTAACAAAAAGCAGATATAACGTTGAATGGCCTATGTCTGATGCTCTAGTTGGGGCGCTCACTAGCTGTCGCATATTGAAATAGAGATATCTAACAGAAGTTCAGAGGATGCGACTTCTGTTTTACCTACTTTACAGGATGTCCGATCAATATTAGGTAGGTTGAAGTCTCCCATGAGAATAATCTTAGTTTTATCGGGGAAGTGCAGAGCCATGTAATCAAATGCATTTTCTAAACGTTTTGGCGGTGTATTTGGTGGCTAGCAAACGGCGCCTAAAGTAAAAACGTTTCCATGCAACGTCAACCTGCACCATAATACCTCGGCACTGATGACACAATGTAATGGCGGCAATTGCACTGAATCTTCAAATATAACTGCGACCCCACCACCCCTTGATGCTCTATCTTTTCTAATAATCCTGAATGAAAGGGGGGGGGGGGAAATAATTTCGCTGCCACCAATACCGCTGTGTAGCCACGTTTCGGTACTAACAACAACATGGGGATCATGAGTTATCAAGATCAGTTCCAGGTCATCTTGTTTCTTCGCGATGCTCCGAGCATTAAAACTCAAGATCTTCAATGATTCCTTAGGGTGTGTTCTCAAAGGTGCTTGGCGTCCTTTTAAACTCCTTCAATTAGTTGGCTGACCTTTGTTGCGTTACATAATTGCCTCTTCGTGTTATCCCACTCGAAAATTTCGTTTCCTATTTTGATTATATCATGTGCCAGAAAAAACAGTTTCCCCATTATCACGATTTCGTTTGCTACTTTCCTACAGCTGTTTGCGCTTTTGAAGCGTCCCCCATGACTAATTGTGCTCAAGTGTTATTTTGCTACCTTTTAGAAGTCAGAATTTTTTTTTTAGAAGATTATTATTTTCATTGTAGTCGAAGAACTTAACAATAACAGGCCGGTTCCTATTCGTCTTTCGTTCAACCTGATGCGATCGTTCGACCGAGTTTGTACGAATTCCGAGTTTTTTTGCGAAGGTACCTTCTAGTACATTTTATTTAAATATATCTGCCGTTTCACCGGCGTCTTCTAAGTTCTAAGCTTCAGTTTTCTAAGTCGATCAACTTTCTTTGGCATTCAACAAGTTCACTTTTTACTGACGTAACATTTTTTTCCAAACTCGTCATTTATTCCTAAGCTCTTTTGTCTCTTCAACTGTGATTCTCCATTTGTTCAACTTTTTTGGCCAGTTTGTCAAATTTGTTCTCAAACGTTTTCTGTCTAGTTTTTATCCCAGCAAGTTCATTTATGATCATATTCTGTTTAGCCAAAATATCCTTGACCTTTTTCTACATCGTAGGTGTATGATCATCATCCGGGCCTGCGTTAGATTCGATAACCCCGCATGATAACAGGTCGCGAGTTACAGCAATATACTCAAGGAACAGCAGTCCGAGGGCACGGCAACAACAACAAGAAAAAAAGGCAGACGTTGCTGGTACCCTTACAGTGCAAGGAGTCATTTCTGCTCAGCTACACGTGATAGGGTTAGCCATTACACCCGGGGAATTGCCGCCGCGCCCTCTGGCCTGGAAAGGCTGTCGTGGCCCTTTTCTTAACCTCGTTGGCGATAGTAGTTGTCGATGTTGCTCCGGCTTTTTTGGTGAACACTAGGTTCATGAAAATGTCGCCTGGCACTTGGCGGCAACGAGGTTCTTGACGACCTTACTAAATTTGCCACATATTATCAGGTGCTATGTTGACAAACTATATACGGTGCCTGAAACCGTCCCTGAGCGGTGAATCGGACGTCTTCTCATTTGTGGTTCCTCGATTTTACGCCCGATGACGTCATAAAACAGCCACGTTTTCGCCCGCCGCGATACAAGCGGCGGCAGAGCAGCGGAGGTGGGTGCGGCGGACGCCCGTTCGGCTGCAACTCTTTAGCTTGGGAGGGAAGCTTCAACAGCCGGGAGTTGCGACGCTGCGACTACAACGAGCTTCACGCTCGCTCGTACTTCTGCCGAAACTCGTGATGACCAAGTGCCGGTTTCCTCGTTTTTCTTTTCCGCTTTGGGATTAGGTTTGGTGCATGCGCGGTATAGGATGCTAAACATGCCAGTTTGAGACGCCATTCCAAACACATACCTTACTGTAGACAACTATAAGTTAAGGGACGCGGGACGTGGCAAGCATTTGGTTATCACTTCGCTGTGCATGATTTCACGCCATTAGTCGATAAGAACGCCAATGAACGAAGCGGGAAACGGGAACGCCTCTGCCTTCTCTAACCTGTGAGTGACTCTAGTTGGTGTAAAACGAAAACGTGTATAAGGCATCCCGAGCGAACCTTCCGCTGTAAAACGAGCTGGAAAATTTCGCCACCTGCACATAGAAATCCCATACTTTCCCCGAAGGTGCACTAAGTCAATCTTACCATGATATATATTGAGGCGGAGTTTTCTTCTCGTTAAAAATAAATAAAACCAAATCCTCTACGCCTTGAAATTTCACATGGTTATACCGTGACCTGCTCAGTGCGTATTCTGTGAAAGTTTTGGCTTTCTATGTGCATGCGCTAATTTTTAAGGCTCATTTTACGGCGAAAGGTTCAGTCAGGATACCCTAGAAGTCTAACGGGCATTTAAGAACTCGTGCGTTAGAGAAAGTATACGTACGTTCTGGATGATTCTTGTAAAGCTTCGAACTGGCGTGCATCTGGTCGACGACCGCCATAACGATGGGCGCCATTATTGACGTTGACGCTGTGTTCGGGATCCACATGGACAGGAACATTGTCACCAACATAAAGCCGAGTAAGAGCCTGCAATATAAAGCGTCCTTCGTAAAACAACGAGACAATGCACACTTAAACCACTAAGCCTTGTTTTCACTCTTGTTGTTGTTCTTACATAAAGCCAACAGCATTCGTAAGTGTGCCTTAATTTTAAACAGAAATGTACATCCGTCAATATGCCCTCACTAAGTCAATCGGTGTATCTGATATTTTGATAAACGGCGGAAAGTATTTTGAGAGCGCAGCTCCTAGGCGCCCATTTCCGGCTTGAGCAGCGTCGCTGTCGCCGTCGGCGTAACAGCAGCGACGTTTCGGCATGGTGACGTTTCGGTACCGTGCCGAAACGTCCTCGTCGCCCCCCTGAGAAGGTTCACGTGAACTCAGGAAGTCACGCGACTCCCCTCAGAGGGTCCTCAGGATAGTCTCAGGGGGTCCTGAGGGGGGTCCTCAGGAAACCCCTGAGGGGAGGCTACGTGACCTTCACGTGGCCTCCGTGACCCCCGTGAGGTCATGAGGGTCACGCGACGTCCTGAAGGTCACGTGACCTCACGGTTACGCTGACGGCGACGCCGACGCCAACGCCACTCGGAGGGAGGAGTAGCAGGCAGGATGAGGGGGTGAGGAAGAGGGAGGAGGGGTATACCCTCCCCTCAGTACCATTCCCTCCGCCTCCTCAAGGGCTGCGCTCTCATTCGGCGTTACAGGGAGTTGTAAATGGCTTTAATTTTTTATACGATTTCACACAGATAATAGGCTGAACAATAAATACGTTATTGCGCTGGAATAGGCTTGCGTGCGGCGCCATTCGTCAAGTCGGAGTATTTTTCTTACCTGAGATTGCTAGTACCGATGGCTAGAAGCGATTTCAATGCGATTCTTCTGTGCAAATTACTTGATTCAACTGCGGCCGCCATTGTTAGCGAACACACTATTAAGATACCGATCTCCTGAAAGTGAAATAAAGTTCGTGAATATGTTGTGTCGCACCTCTTCCTACTACCTACCATTTCACACGTTTCATACACTTCTAAATGTTTTACTTATACCCTAAGCAAGATAGCATTACATAAATACAGGACAATATTGGACGTCCACATTGAAGTTTTGCGAAAAAGGACTAAACAAGAGCAACCTAAAATCCAGATTATGACTAAGGCCCTCTTCATACGCACTTGAGAACGCGATGTCCCGTGTCCGCTTTTGAGATCTTTTTGCCATAACTGAAAACATTTTCGGCTAGGGATGGGCAATTGATCGATGAACCTACCGACTAATCAATTAATGTTTTAATCGCGAGAAAACAATTTAAACGTTTAATCGGTAAATGTTCTGACAAACCCCCCTCCCCCCCCCCCTCAAAAAAGTAAAAATTGAAAGCTTCCACCACGCAGACCTTGAAAAGTGCACCTGCAGGAAGGAAAAACTTAGTTGAAGTTTTAGAATAAAGTAAACTGTAGGCGCGAGATATTTAACTTAGAGAAGTGCAGAAGGTTACACGCTTCCCGGTTGTTTCAACGCAGTTCCAGTGTCCGTCTAGCGCAGCAAAGACTATAGTGAATAATCAAAGGAGGTTGTTCTTGCCGAAGAATATCAAAGACCCTCTGCGTTATGCAGCTGAACTAATAATATGCGAATGTGAGTTATGTCTTTAAACTCTTATTAATTACACATAGTGATTTACTTGTAATCCGAGTAGTACATTGCGCCGTTTATCGCATATTCAGCAAAAGCATAAAAATATTTATTTGATTGTTTTTCTAATTTTATGCATAGACATAAACGAGACCGATTAATTCATAATTAATCTATGAAAGCGTGGCCAATAATAAGGTTATGGCTTTTAATCGACAAAACAATCCTAAGGGTGCAGGCGAGCTGGTGAATATTAACCATGTTGAATTCACCTGAGACTGGGGTAGAGAAGAAACATCAACACGTGGAAGGGACAGAAAATAGACAGGAAACGTGAGACGTCGTCGCGTCTATTTTCTGTTCCTTCCGACGTTTTGATGTTTCTTCTCTACCCCAGTCTCAGGTGAATTCAATATGGTTTTTAATCGACGCTCAGCCTTAGGTCAGTATTTTCGGTGTCTGTAGTGCAACTAGTAGTTTATAGTAGTTGCCTTCATGGAGAAGGAAGAAGCGGCGTCCTCTTAAAGTACAACTCTGTCCACGCCTATATACGTGTTAATATACCTATGCCCATAAATTAGAGTGCCATAAATTGGTGTATGGTGTACGATAGCAGTAGAGGTGCTATCTTCCCTTTTCTTAAAAGGGCCACCTCAAACATGGCCATCACGGCAAAACCGAAATAGCTGGCGCACCAAATCACTTTGCATATTAAAAAAAAAGGTATTAAAGATCTTGAAACAAAACATGGTGCGCATGAAATCTCGGCGTGAAATCATAATTCTGAAAAAGAGGGGAAACATGAATTCCCTTGGTGCACACATCACCATTGTTGCAGCTAGCTATGCACGAAGTGATAGGGTGTCAAAACGTCGATGCAGGCAAACCATACAAAACCGAGTGGGTTAACATGTCACAGCTCGGAGCGTGGAGCGAAAGCTTGCACTTCAGAACCTCATGGGTTCGATACCCACTCCTTGCCTGTTTCGATCTGAATGAGTTTCGTACCAGCACGTGGTCGTGTAATCACTACTGCGTGATGAACATTAAAAAACCCAGGTTAGCTGTTATACTTTACTGGATAAATTTCTTATCTACAACTAAGAAACAGGTCACCCGTCAAGGCGTACTTGCATCAAGGCTGTATGAACATACAAGCAACGCAATTTTTCTAGGTTGATCCGAATGGCTGAACAATGTGAAGGAACGTGGATAGGGCAACTGGATTCGACTGCGGGGAAACGATCTGGGAGGTGGTGAGCGAGGGTGAATAGGGGAACTCCGCATTCATAGGGTTTGTGACCTGAAGTTTTAGTCAGGCCAATATGAGTAAAAGTACTGCTCATTCGCCTGTTCCTCAGCAATGCGGTGGTGTTAGGATGGAGCAATATGACCGCGGATGTTACAGTTGAAGCAAATACCATGCAAGCCAATAGACCTCTAGCTTTCAAGTTTTGAACAGCGCCCCTGGCGAGAAACATCGGATATTTTTAGGTCGCGTTTCCACTGTGCATATCGTAGCGTCCTTTCAAACGCTCTGTTAGTGCGTGTGAACCATAAGCAGACGCCGAGGGTAGCTGACAGACGCTAGTTTACGCCCGTGGAAGGTGCGTGATGGGACGCTAGGACGCCGCTTCACGTCGGCATTAGATGGTCGCGTCTCGCTGACGCTATAGCGGAGGAGCTTCTTTTGTGGTCGCGTCTCGCGAACACTACAGCGCCCCCTGGCATAGAGAAACAGGCCTGTACTGGCAACCCCTGCGGAGCGCAGGCGAAAAGTGATCGCTGCGACCCTGGCGAGCTCGGAGTTTCTGCAAGCAGACGAATTCTTTACAGCGCATTGGTTTTGCCTATCTCCCTGCGAGATAGCCGATGAAAACAAATTTTCACGTGTATTCTCTGCTTTGAATGTTAAAAGGTAGGTGCCACCTCATGAGTGAAGGACATTTTCAACGCATGGGAAATGTGATACAGCTTTCAGGGTGCACTCTTATGGCTCTCTTGAAGAAAACACTTTGTCAGAACTTATGTAAGCCTGTCAAAACACCAATGTACCCTCGCCCTGTTTCTTGAAAAAGGGCAATGTACAAAAAGTTCAGAACATAGCTATGATTCAACTTTACTGTTCTAATCGATAAATTCGTTTTGTTGTTGCAATTCCCATTTCTCATGAATGTATTACTTAAAACCGTCTGGTCGAATAACAGAGCTGGCTAATTCCATTAATATCGTCTCCAGATGAAGAAGCAAAAGGCAATTTTGAACCACGTACGTTACTGCGGTGTCAGCATGCTCTGGAATGAGTCGATTGTGCACATGCAAATCTGACGCTACTACTGAGACTAATAAAAGCGGATTTACAAGAAAATCAAAACTTTTCGCGCGTGCAAAAAAAAAAAAAAAAGAGGAGAGCGTCGTACCTCCAATAACGGTGATTTCGGTCACGTTATATACGGTTCACAAAATTGCGATGGTTAGCGGTGAGATGACTAACGTCTTCTGCGACTTCTACAATAAAGGCCGGCACCCGTTGTACGGTCCTGGAACTCCCTCCATCTTTCAGTCTACTTTCTTTTTATGTTTTCAGGGCGACGCTACGCCGCAGCATTCTTTCTTGCTCCTGCTTTTATGTTGTTGTTTTAGCTTTTTTATTTCTTCTAATTACTTGACGTTCGAGCCATCTCGTATTTTGCTTTGACTTGTTTGGCTTGGTTCTTACTACCTTTCCTTCACTACTCCCGCCGGTTCGTCTGCCACTCTATGCCCGGACATCTGGAGGGTCGTCTGCAACTTTGTTGTTATTGTTTGTTTTTTTTTTGTTTTTTTTTTCCTACAGTCGTGTGCGATAACCTATTTTCACTTTCGGTTGATTTTATAACCCAAAATCTTCGTATGTGCTTTTTAATACTTGTGGGGACCCCCTCTCCCTGGCTCCTCCGCTCTCCGTGACCTTGCCGGTCCCCGCCGCCGTATTGTCGGGCGCTCCTTCGTTCCCTGTGACCTTCCCGTTTCCAGTCGCCGGCCTGTCGCGGAATGTCCGAGCTCTCCGGGAGGTACGGGGCAAGCGCCCCCTCACCCAGCGCTGACGTCGGAGGATCGGCTCGCGGCAGGTTCCCGATTGGACGGTCGGCGGGACAAGGACTTGGGAAGGTCTTAAGAAGGGCAACGGAGACAAAGGAAGAGGGCTTGGGCTTGGGCTGCCGACTTGACAAGGGACCGGTCATGGAGGCGAGCTCGGACGGCGCCGGACGCTGGCGCAGGGAGTGCGGGCACTACGTCGAGTGGCGGATTCGACAAGCGGACCGGACAGCGACCCTGGACGACGACGTCCCCATGACGCGGTGTGGACGACCACCGCTGGGACTCGGAGAAGCTGCTCGGGCAGCGGACTCTCCCCCGGCCTCGCTGATGTTCGTCCCCCGATCCCGAAACCCCCCAAGGCAATGAGTGAGTGAATAAACCCTTTTGCCGAGAGCGAAGTATTGCAGTGTCATATTCATACGGGAACAGGGTCTGTGGGAATCGGAGCAAGAAGATGCCCGCATAAACTGGCGCCCAACGTGGGTCCTGATTTTTGATCAGGCAGGCATTCCGATTTCTAACCTGTTTCCGGTTGAATTGGGGCACTGTTTCGCGCTCTTTTTGGGGGTCATCTTTGTCGCGGGAGCGCCGCACGAAGTTTCGTTGCGGGAGCGCCGCACGGAGGCCCTGACATTATCGCCTGTCTGACTAGGAGGCGCGGATTTTGACCGCTGTTTTAAGGGATTAACCCTTTTGCCCAGCCTGTCAGGAATTTACTTATCCCCCGTTACGAGAAGCGCCTCGAGTATTCACTGTTCAGCGCACCGTTGGATGCTGGCAGGTTGATCCTGCTGCGCAAGAGCGCTATGTGCGTCGAAATTACCGCACCTCGAGGCCTGTAGCGTCGGGCTTCACCCCACCTACGCCTCCGGCCGTCCGCGTCTGCTGGGAAAAATGCCGGCTCACGCTTCGGGGGATGTGACGCGCCTAACCGCCTTTGTTCGCGTATCGATGTAATGGTTTGTAACGCTTGTTACTGATCGGACGCGTTAAAGAGGCATCGCTTTGGGTGGAGAACGCTCCCATTGTGGATGGCGGTTGCATGGACTGTGTTTGAAAATTATTCCCGCATTGCATTTTGTCCGGGAGGAGACTAGCGTCTCGGTTTGATCGCATGCTAGCTCCCAGTTGGCCTTGCTTGAGCTGTCGGCGCGGTTTTGAGCGTCGTTAGTTGACAGCGTTTTAAGGTACGGATGCGCTCTTGTGGTTCCGACCAAGATCGCTTTGAACGAGT